CTGCAGGAACAGCAATAAAACACCAAACCAACACCACAGGAGCAGGAACCCCTCAGGAAACACCAAACTGATGCAGAGCTCTGCTCTCCAGCATTCCCGACACTCAGCTCGCTCCTCCTGCCCTCCTCCAGCTGCTCCAGGCTGGGATCCACCCCGAACCGAGCCCCAGTGGCATCCCTGATGACCAAACCCACAGCAAACGCAGCAATCCCCTTCCCCAGCTGCCAGCACAGCTCGGAACAAGCGCAGCACAGCCTGGGGATGTGCCGGGTGGGCAGAGACGCTCGGGGGGCCCTTCAGCCCCGATTTCCTGATTTTAGGGCGCTTCGCCTCCTCTGTGACTCTGCCAAAGCTCCTTTTCCCCAACAGCTCCGGGGGCGGGAGGCAGAAGGAAACACGACGGGAAGAGACCTGAAATCCCGAACACACCAAAACATCCGACAGCATCACCTGAGGCGAGCGGGGATGCGGGAGAGGCCAGGGCAGCGAGTGTCTGCCAGATCCAGGCTCAGCAGCGTCCGGTGCCCGGGAACGGGCCGGTGGGTGCCCACCGGGAGCAGGACCGGGAGGAGCACATCCACGCCCGGAGCTGAGGAGGCGCAGGGAGAGCAGGCCCGGGGCCGCGGCCGGAGCACAGCGGTGCCCCCGGAGCGGTGACACACCGAAAACACCCAAACCGTGACGGGTGAGCCGCGCAGGGCCGGCTCCGGCTGCCGGCACCGCCCGGGGGATGCTCGGAAGGGGAGATGAGAACTGCCCGGTACTGCCCGGTGCTGCCCGGCCCGGCACCGGCGACGGCCCCGCAGGCTCGGCCCTGCTCCAGGAGCACCCCGCCCCGCCGCCAGGGCCCGCCCCGCGCCCCCGGCCCCGCGCCCACCCCACAGCCCCGGCCACAGCGGCCCCGCGCGGGCCCGGCCCCCCCGCGCCCCTCCGCCGCTCACCGCGCTTGCCGGGGTCGTATCCCACGAGCACGAAGTAGTCAGCCAGGCGGGCCATGGCGGCGGGGGCGGCCCGGGCCGGCCCCGGGAGCTCCGGGAGCCCCGCGAGGCCGCGCTCGGCTCCTCAGGGCTCCTCAGGCCGCCGCCGCCGCCCGCCCGCGCCCACCGCCCGCCGCCGCCGCCATCTTGGCCCCGCGCGCACCGCGCCTGCGCCAGCGCCGGGAGCCGAGGGGGGCGGGGCCGCGCCTCCCATTGGCTGCGCGCGGGCGGGGCCGCGCCTCCCATTGGCCGCGGCGAGGGGGGCGGGGCCTGGTGTGGAGAGGGCGGGGGCCGGTGTGTGGGTGGGCGGGGCCTGGTGCGGAGGGGCGGGGCCTGGGCGGAGGGGGCGGGGCCTGGGCGGAGGGGGCGGGGCCTGGGCGGAGGGGGCGGGGCCGAGGCTTCCCCGAGGGGGGGGACGGAGGGTCCGGGAATGGGGGGGACACGGGGACATCTCGGGGTGTGGGGACATCTCGGGGTGTGTGGGGACGTCTCGGGGTGTGTGGGGACACCCAGGGTGCGGGGACATCCGGGGGAGTGGGGATATCCCTGGGGTGTGCGGGGACATCTCGGGGTGTGGGGACATCCCCGGGGTGTGTGGGGACATCTCGGGGTGTGAGGGGACATCCAGGGGGTGTGGGGACATCCCCAGGGTGTGGGGGTACATCCCCCGTGAGCACAGACCCCCCCCAGGTGTGCACGGCCTCTAGAGTGCCCACAGGTTTCCCGTGACCCCCATTCCACACAGTCCCCCTGGAAAGGACCCCCGCAGGTGCGACCCCCCTCAGGTGTGTCCCACACAGAGGGGACCCCACACACAGATGTGACCCCGTACAGGTGTGACCCCATACAGGTGTGTCCCACACACAGATGTGTCCCCACACACATGTGACCCCACACACAGATGTGACCCCATACAGGTGTGTCCCACACACAGATGTGTCCCCCCCTCAGGTGTGTCCCACACACAGATGTGACCCCATACAGGTGTGACCCCCCTCAGGTGTGTCCCCACACAGATGGGACCCCACACACAGATGTGACCCCATACAGGTGTGATCACACACAGGTGTGACCCCACACACAGACGTGTCCCCACTGAGGTGTGACCCCACACACAGGTGTGACCCCATACAGGTGTGTCCCACACACAGGTGCGTCCCCACACAGATGGGACCCCACACACAGGTGTGACCCCACACACAGGTGTGACCCCACACACAGATGTGACCCCCCTTAGGTGTGTCCCACACAGAGGGGACCCCACACACAGATGTGACCCCATACAGGTGTGACCCCATACAGGTGTGACCACACGGGGACACCGCAGCGTTGGCACTGGCACCGCGGGGCTGACACTGCAGGGACCGCTGCCGGTGTCGCGGGCCGCGGTGGCAGCGGGTGACACGGGCTGTGCGGGACCCGCGGGGACAGCGGCGGGCACAGGGAGCCCCGCGACACCGGACACGGGGCACGGGGACAGGGCGGGGCACCGGGACACAAGGCACGTGCAGAGTCCGGCTGTGCCCTGTGCCCGGGATCCTCTCGGGCCAGAGCTGCTACTGGGGACACTGGGGACACTGGGGACACTGGGGACACTGAGGACACTGGGGACACTGGGGACCCTGGGGACACTGGGGACACAAGAGACCCTGAGGGCTCTGGGGACCCTGAGGACACTGGGGACACTGGGGACACTGAGGGCACTGGGGATTGAGGCGCTGCTGAAGATGCTGGGGACGCTGGGGACACTGGGGATACTGGGGACACAAGAGACCCTGAGGGCACTGGGGACCCTGAGGACACTGGGGACAGTGGGGACCCTGAGGGCGCTGGGGATTGAGGCGCTGCTGAAGATGCTGGGGACACTGGGAGCACTGGGGACAGTGGGGACACTGGGGACACTGGGGACACTGAGGGCACTGGGGACACTGAGGACACTGGGGACACAAGAGACCCTGAGGGCACGGGGGACCCTGAGGACACTGGGAGGGGGAGCGGCCCCTCGCTTTGGGGGTCCCGGGGGGCTCAGGGATGGGGGAGCGGCCCCTCGCTTTGGGGGTCCCGGGACAGGGTGCGCAGCCCTGGCCGGGGGTTGGGGGGGTCCCAGCAGCCAGAGGCGCTTTTTGGGGAGCGGGTGACCGGAGCGGGGCTGCGGGTGCTGCTCGCAGCCCCCGCCCTGCCCCGGGGCCAAAGCCAGCAGGCAATTAAGCTAATTAAAACTTCTCCTGGGTTCCCAGGGCCGGGAGCCAGCAGAGAGGAAGAGGGAGAGGAAGAGGGAGAGGGAAAGTGCCGCCGGGCCCCGGGGACAGACGAGGTGACCCGGCGGTGGCAGCTCCCGGGGCGGGTCCAGCTGTGGCACCAGCGGGTGGCAGCAGCTCCGGGGGTGGCTCCAGGGGTCACCCGTGCCCGGGTGGCCGTGAGGCGACAGCCGGACCCAGCGTGGCCGGGCAGGGGGCAGGGGGCACCCCGGGGTCCTTCCCAGCGCCCCAGGGATGGCGATTCTGCCCCTGCTGCGGGGCCGAGGGGCTCAGCTGTACCCCCGCCATGTCCCCAGAGCCTCTCCTCGTGCCCCGAGTGGGTGACACTGACCCTGGTGACACGGATTTGCCCCTGAGGGTGGCAGCGCTGGCCCTGCCCCACAGGGGGACCCCAAGCAGGACCCGGGAACAGCCCTGGGGTGGCTGTGGCAGCGCTGGGTGACAGATGTCACCTCTGAGATCCGCGCCCCAAATCCCGCAGGGTGACACCCCGCGGGGACACCGCGGTGGTGGCGGTGGGCTCAGGGCGGGGGTCGGGGCCGGGGTGTCCCGCGTACCCCCCGCGCTGCTCTGGGCCCTGTTCCGAGCCGGTTTCTCTCTCTGGCGGGGCAATCCAGCGGAAGAGCGCAGAAGGCGGCAGGAATTCCCCGGGAACCGGGCGGGACCGGGGGTCGGGGCACGGGGGGCCGCCCGTGCCCCCCGTCCCGCTCGGGGCCGTGTCCCGCCGCCCCCGGGATCAGGTGCTGCCCCAAATCCCCCGCACGGGGCCGGTGTGTGGAGCCTTTGTGTCCCGGTAATGCGGAAGAATCCCAGCGATTCCGGGCACGCGGGGCCCCTCGGCCCCTGGGGAGGCCGCACCGGGGGCAGAGGGTACCCCCGGGCTGGGGTCCGGGCCGCTCGGACACCCCGGGGTGCTGCGGGTCCTCGCCCCAAACCCACCGGGAGCACCGACCCCGAGCAGGGAATGGGGGTCCCGGCCGGGGGTCCCGGCAAAGGAAGCTGTGGGGACCCCTCCCCTGCCCAGCTCAGGAGCGGCCCCCCTGAGAACCCCACCAGCCCAGTTTGGGGGAGCTGCTGGAGCGGGACCGCTCTGATCCCCGCGGATTTACATTCCTGAATTGTTTTCCAAGGCCCCATGTGATGCTGAAAAACTCGGGAACAGCCCTGGGAGAAGGGCGGGGCAGATGGGGCAGTCCAAACTGGGGACACTGGGCTGTACTGGGTGGGCTCTGTGCCCCCGGGGTCCCCGCCAGCCAGGGGGTGTCGGGGTGCCCGGCGGTGCCAGGCGGCAGGGCTCGGCACGGTGTGGCACGGGGCGGCACGGCCCGGTCCCGGTCCCGCCGGGCTGCGGGGTGCCCAGACCCCCCAACAGCCCCGGGCCAGCCCCGTCCCCCTGCCCCCGGACGGGTCCCCCAGCCCAGCCCAGCCCCGGCCCTGCACCGGCAAGGTCCCGGGGGCAGCGGGGCCGGGTATGTGCGGTACCGGGCCGGGGGTCGGTGCCAGGGAAGGTGCGGGGCCGGGGCCGCTGCGGGACTGGGGAGGGGCCGGGGAAGGTGCGGAGCCGGTGCGGGGCCGAGGGGGCCGGGGGCAGTGCAGGGTCGGGGTGCTGCGGGATTTGGGGATTGCGGGGCCGGTGCGCGGCCGGGGGTCCGGGACCGGTGCGGAGCCGAGGGCGGTGCGGGGCTGCTCCCGCCCGCAGCTCCTCCCGTCCCGCTGGGCTCCACCCGCCCGCCGGCCCCGGCGATATTTAACCTGGGCCGGGGCGGGGAAGCGGCAGCGGCGAGCGGGGACGGAGCCGACCCCGGGGCAGCGCAGCCCGATCCCGGTCAGGCACCGCCGGGAGGGACCCCGCGCCGCCCCCGGGCCGCGGCACAGCCAGGGAACCGAGGGGGGCAGGACGAGAAGGGGGCTGCAATCTGAGCCGGACCCCAGCGCGACCCCCGCGCCCGCCCCGCGTCTCCCGCAGCCTCCGCCGCTCGTCCGGTCCCGTCCGGCCATGCGAGCCCCGGCCCCGCTGGCGCTGGGTTGCGTCAGCTTCGCGCTGTGCCTTGTGGAGCTGCCCCACGGGCGGGCCCTGCCGCCGCGCAGGTGAGGGACCCTGCCCGCACCTCTGCCCGCACCCCCTGCCCGCACCCCCTGCCCCGATCCCCCTGCCCGCACCCCTGCCCGCACCCCCTCCCGCACCCCCTGCCCGATCCCTGCCCCGATCCCTGCTCCGCTCCCTGCCCCGCACCCCCTGCCCGCAGCCCCCTCCCGCACCCCTGCCCCGATCCCTGCCCCGATCCCTGCCCGCACCCCCTGCCCGCACCCCCTGCCCGATCCCTGCCCCGATCCCCCCTCCCGCACCCCCTCCCGCATCCCTGCCACGCACCCCGTGCCCGCACCCCCTGCCCGCACCTCTTTCCGCACCCCCTGCCCGCAGCCCCCTCCCGCACCCCCTGCCCGCTCCCTGCCCCGGTCCCTGCCCCGGTCCCTGCCCGCACCCCCTCCCGCACCCCCTGCCCCGGACGCTTCTGGATCCCCCTGCCCGCACTCTCTGCCCGGGACGAGCCCCCCAACCTCTCCCCTGCCGAACCTCCACCCCACTCCTCCTGTCTGCCCGGCCCCGCACCCCTATTCCCGCACCCCTATTCCCGCACCCCTATTCCCACGACCCACTCCGCGCCCTCCCGGTGTCCCCCCGCCCCATCAGCTGCCCGGGATGGGGGTCTGGGGGGTCCCGGGGCACCGTCTCCTGCCCGGCCCCCAGCCCGGGGGGCGCGGTGGCGGGAGGGGGGCACCGGGGTCACGGCATGCCCGGGGTGCGAGGTGTGCAAAGGTGTGCAAAAATGTGCCAGGTGTGCCAAGTGTGCCAGGTGTGCCAAGTGTGCAAAGGTGTGCCAGGTGTGCAGAGATTCGGTGCGTGCAGGAGCTCGGGGGTGCCCGGGACCTGTGTGGGTGCCCGTGGGGGGGGTCTGTGGGGTGCTGAAGTGGCAGCTGGGGCCGGGACAGCCCCCCACCCGTGGGAGTGTGCACACCCCGCACGTGCGTGTGCGTGTCCCTGCGCGGGGAGCGCGTCTGGACCGGCCCCGGTGCCCGGGGATCCCCGCCTGGCTGCGGGGGGATCCGGCCCCGGGGTTGGGGGGCACCGGGACACCCCGACCCCGCAGGGCCCGGGCAGCTCCTGCCTGGGCTGGGCTGGGGGTGGGTCCTCTGGGGCGAGGGTCAAAATGGGGAGAAAATATTAAAAAAAAGGGAAAAGAGAAGCACGGGGCTAAGAACGGGACCAAAAGCTGCCGGTTCCCGGGAGCTCAGGAGGGTCCCCTGAGGCAAAGGTGCCCCCGGGCCAGGGGCGCTGAGGCCGTGGGCAGCTCCGTGGCGGTGCCCTGAGGCCGGACCCACCCACGGGTGCCCGGGGCACGGGCGTGGGTGCGGGGGCAGAGGCCGTGGGAACGGGGTGGGCGGAGCGGGGGGCGCCGGGGGGGCTCCGGGGGTGCCGTGTGTGCGGGACACGTGTCGTGCGCTCGGGTACGTGTGTGCCTGCAGGTAGCGGCTGCTTCCTCCTCCTCCTCCTCCTCCTCCTCCTCCTCCTCCTCCTCCTCCTCCGGAAGCCCGGGGCAAGCGGCGGCTCCGGCCTCAGGAGGTGCCCCCGCGCCCCTCCGCTGTTGTGGCAGTGCCACCCCCGTGCCCGGGAGCCGCAGCTGTGCTGTCCCCCTGACCCCGTCCCTTCTCTCCTGCAGGGCCCCCCCGGCGCGGAGCCCCCCGGAGGGGACCCCCGTTCTCCCCGGAGCCCCCCCGGCCGCGCCGCCCATCGGGACCCTGCGGCACCGAGCCCCGGTTCCGCGGCAGCGAGCCCCGGTTCCGTGGCTCGCCCCTCGACCCCCGCCGTGGCACGTCCGGCGGCTCATCCTGCGGCGGGACCCCCGGCGGGACCCCCGGCGGGACCGGGGCCGCCGCCAGGCCGGGGGGCACCTGGTGCGGGTGGGCTGCGTGCTGGGCACCTGCCAGGTGCAGAACCTGAGCCACCGCCTGTGGCAGCTGCGGGGACACTCGGGGCGCCGCGACTCGTCCCCCATGAACCCCAACAGCCCCCACAGCTACGGCTGAGCGGGGGGCGCGCCCCGGCCCCGCGGGACCCCCCGAGCACCGCCGTGGGCTCCTCCGGGGGGCTCCCGGAGCACCGGGGGCCGCCACGCTGTGGATCCCGGCGGGCAGGAACCGGTGGCGGCCCCGGTGGTGGCCCCGGTGGCGGCCCCGGTAGCGGGCGGCGGTGACCCAGCGGTGGACCGGAGTGACTCCCGGGGCCCGGTGCCGGCCCGTGGTGACTCTGATGGCTCCGAGTGGCCCCTGGTGGCCGCTGGTGGCCCGTGGTGACCCGGGGCGGGTCCAAGGGCCACCGGCGGGAATCCCGCTGACCGCAGCAGCACCGGGACCTTGTGCAAGACCCTCCGGCCGCGCTCCTGCTGACTCAGCATTCCCGTGCCCCACCCCAGGGCACCCCCGGAGCCCCCCAGGGCACCCCCAGTCCTTCCCCAGGGTGGCACAGGGACCCCGCTGCGGGCTGGGGGACGGGGCAGCCCCCAGCCCCTTCCCCACCCGGGGGTCCCGCTGGGGCTCGCACCTTCCCAGGTGCTGCGGGGGTCCTCAGCCTGAACGCTGTCCCCTCCCCTGGCACCTTGTCCCGTGTCCCCAGCCCGTGTCACCCCCAGCCCGGCAGGAGCTGGTGATGGGGAGGTGTCCCCAAATGTGGGGGGCGGTGGAAAGGTTGGGGTGCTGTCCCCACGTCGTGTCCCCACAGGCTCAGTGGGTGCCCACAAGGGGTGGTGGCACAAGGACATGAGGGGACATGTGTGACATCGCTGCCACCCCCAGGGCCGTCACCCCATGCCCGGTGGGACAGGGATGTGTGACCCCAGCCACTGTCCCACCCCCCTCCTGGGAGCAGCTGGAGCAGCCCCCCAAGAGCAGCAGCCCCCCAAGAGCAGCAACCCCCCAAGAGCAGCAGCCCCCACTCCCTCCAGGACAGCCCTGTCCTCCCAGGGGCACTCCAATGCCCAGGGGCACCCCCATTCCCAGGGGTACCCCATTTCCTGAGCACTCCATTCCCAGGGGCACCCCCATTCCCAGAGCACCCCATGCCCAGAGCACTTCATTCCAGGGGTACCCCCATGCCCAGAGCACCCCATTCCCAGGGGTACCCCCATTCCCAGAGCACCCCATTTCCTGAGCACTCCATGCCCAGGGCACCCCATTCCCAGGGGCACCCCATTTCCAGAGCACCCCATTTCCAGGGGCACCCCATTCCCAGGGGTACCCTCATGCCCAGAGCACCCCAATTTCCTGAGCACTCGATTCCCAGGGGTACCCCCATTCCCAGGGGCACCCCCATTCCCAGAGCACCCCCATTTCCGGGAACCCCCCAACCCTCCATTCCCCAGCAGACCCGGCTGTCCCAGGAGGTTCTGGGGCAGGGTGTCCCCTGGGTGCCACACGAAGGGAGCTGGCCCTGGGTGCCCATGCTCGGGACATCCCAGGAATGTCCCAAGCTGTCCCCTGGGTGCCACACGAACCGAGCTGGCCCTGGGTGCCCATGCTCGGGGCGTCCCAGGAATGTCCCAAGCTGTCCCCCGGCTGTCCCGGGACACTCTGGGATGTGATCCCACGGATGCCACCAGCAGCCGCGCCCACCCCGTGGGTGTCCCAGGACTTCCCAGCCCCCCATGGAGCTGCCGAGGGGCGCGGGGGGTCCCCAGGCCTCTGTCCCCTCCCCTGGGTGCCCCCGGTGGGTGCCCGACCCCCCCGGCCCGGCCCGCAGAGCGCCGCTGCTTCCCGGGAATGCCGGGGGGTGGAATAAACAGTGTGAGGAGGAGCTGGGATGGAGCGTGGTGATCCCATAGGGATGGGAGATCGGGATGGGGCAGGGATGGGGCACGGTGATCCCATGGGGATGGGAAATTGGGATGGGGCAGGGATGGGGCACGGTGATCCTGTGGGGATGGGAAATCGGGATGGGGCACAGTGATCCTATAGGGATGGGGCACGGTGATCCTATAGGGATGGGGCACGGTGATCCTATAGGGATGGGGCACGGTGATCCTATAGGGATGGGGCACGGTGATCCTATAGGATGGGATATGGGATGGGGCAGGATGATCCCCTGGGGATGGGAAATCGGGATGGGGCAGGGATGGGGCACGGTGATCCTATAGGATGGGAAATTGGGATGGGGCACAGTGATCCCATAGGGATGGGGCAGGATGATCCCCTGGGGATGGGGCAGGGATGGGGAACGGTGATCCCATAGGGATGGGAAATTGGGATGGGGCATGGGATGGGACACGGTGATCCCGTGGGGATGGGACATGGGATGGAGCACAGTGATCCTATAGGATGGGAAATTGGGATGGGGCAGGGATGGGGAACGGTGATCCCGCGGGGATGGGAAATCGGGATGGGGCACAGTGATCCCATAGGGATGGGACACAGTGATCCCATAGGGATGGGTCAGGGTGATCCCATAGGGATGGTCAGGATGATCCCCTGAGGATGGGGCAGGGGTGGGGCACAGTGATCCCATGGGGATGGGGCAGGGTAATCCTATAGGGATAGGACATGGGATGGGGCATGATGATCCCATAGGGATGGGACATGGGATGGGTCAGGATGATCCCCTGGGGATGGGGCAGGGATGGGGCACGGTGATCCCACAGGGATGGAACAGGGGGCGGACGAGGGCAGCCATGTCCAGGGACAGCCACCAGGTCCCTCAGGGCCAGGAGGTGACAGGCGGGGGCTGCGGGGACAGACGCGGGGACAGTGGGGGCACACACACGTGTGGTTGTGCCCACACGTGCCCTGTCCTGCCCCACACGTGTCCGTGCCCACCCGTGCCAGCCTGCCCGTGCCCTGTCACACCCGATGCCCGTCCCCCCCCGGGGCAGTGCCAGCCCGGTGCCCCCAGCCTGTCCCCAGCCCCCCGTGCCCCCCGTCCCCAGGGCCGGTCCCGCTCCCCGCGTCCCCGCGGGGTCACTCCGGGGGTCCCCAGCTCGGGGGTCCCCAGCTCGGGGGTCCGCCAGTCCCCTCCAGGAGCCGCAGCCCCCCGGGCGGGCGCGGGGTCAAACATTAACCGGGCGGGTTAATTGATCACCGATTGTCCCCGCGGGGCCGGGCGGGCCCCCCGCGCCACCCCCCTGCCATAAAAACGGGGGCGCGGCGGCCGCCCCGCAGCCCGGGAGCCCCCAGACCCACCATGAGCGGCCTGAGGGCGGTGAGTGGGGGGCTTGGGGACAGCTGGGGGGGGGGGACAAACACACCTGGGGGGACAAACACAGCTGGGCCCCCCCAGATCCGGGGCCAGAGGGGACCCCTTGGTGATATCGTCCCTGCTGGGGGGTGCCACCCCTCCCCAAAGGGACCCCCCCTGGGTGGGGGTCTCGAGGACATGGGGAGCTGCTCCCCCCCCGGGTGGGGTTATGGGGTCAGGGCCAGGCCGGGGGTGTCCCACAGCACCCGTGGGACCCTCACACCGCCCCCAATAGAGACCCCCGGAGCGCTGTCCCCACCCAGGGATGGGGGGTGGCACCCCCAGGTCCGTCTGTACCCCGAGGGGGACAGCGTGTGGTGATGTGTGACACCGTGTGACACCGTGCGACAGATAGTGTGCGATAGTGTGCGACACCGTGTGACAAAGTGTGGCATTGTGTGACCCCATGTGACAGCGTGATCCCACACGGCCAGGCCTGTGCTTGGTGCCGGTGTCCCCCTGCCCCGTGTCCCTGTCCCGTGTCTGTGTCCCTGTCCCGTGTCCGTGTCCATGTCCGTGTCCCTGTCCTGTGTCCCTGTCCCGTGTCCCTGCCCCTGTCCCGTGTCCCGTGTACATGTCCGTGTCCATGTCCCTGCCCCGTGTCCCCATCCCGTGTCCGTGTCCCTGTCCCGTGTCCGTGTCCCCACGTGCCCACGCGTGTCCCCCGTCCCCCGCAGGACCCCGACTCCTCCGAGGAGCCCCAACCCGGCAAGGCCAAGACCGAGTTCCGCAACTACACCGTGAGTGGGGTGGGGGATCCCAAAACCGGGCGGGTCCCGTGGGTCCCGTGGGTCTGTGGCACCCCGGGGTGCTGCGGGGACACGGGGGCTGCCCCGGAGCCCCCCGAACCGCCGGTGCCGCCCCGCAGGAGGGGAAGCTGCTCGACCGCGTGTACAACACCTACCTGCTGATGCACACGCACCAGACCGTGGAGTTCGTCCGCAGGAAGGTGGGGACGGCCCCGTGTCCCCCCGTGTCCCCCCGTGTCCCCCGTGTCCCTCCGTGTCCCAGCCCTCCGTGCCCGCACCCCAAATCCAGCCCCGCCGCCCCACCCCACCCCTCTCGGGGCGCACCGGGGGGCACCGAGCCCCCTGCCCGGTCTCGGGGTGGGCACGGCGCTGTCCCCACGCGCGGCGTGTCCCCAGAGCGCGCAGTACGGCTCCTGCTCGCTGCGGAGGATGAGCGCCATGGAGGCGCTGCAGCTGCTGGATCAGCTCGTGGACGAGTCGGACCCGGACGTGGATTTCCCCAACTCCTTCCACGCCTTCCAGACGGCCGAGGGCATCCGCCGGGCGCACCCCGACAAAGGTGGGGCCCCTGCCCGCCCCTGTCCCCGCCGCGGTCCCCACCCCACGGGTGACACGGCCCCGCTCGCCCCCAGACTGGTTCCACCTCGTGGGGCTCCTGCACGACCTGGGCAAGGTGCTGGTGCTCTTCGGGGAGCCCCAGGTGAGCGGCACGCGTGGGAAGGGGTTCGGGGGCTTCCCCCCGCGGCCGGGGGACCCTCGGGGGGTGCCGTGACCCCCCGTGCCCCCCGGCAGTGGGCGGTGGTCGGGGACACCTTCCCGGTGGGCTGCAGGGTGCAGAAGTCGGTGGTCTATGGGGACTCCACCTTCCACGACAACCCCGACACCAAAGACCCCCGGTACAGGTGAGCCGGACCCCCGGGGGGTTTTTGGGGGGCGGGGGTCGCACCCCCGGCCCGGCTGGGCTGTTGTGGGGGGGGGTCCGGCCGCTCAGCCCCCGCCCCATCCCCAGCACCGAGTACGGGATGTACCAGCCCGGCTGTGGCCTGGACAACGTCCTCATGTCCTGGGGCCACGATGGTGAGTTTGGGGTGCTGGGGGGGGGTCCCTCCTGGGGCAGAGCCCCCCACCCCAAACAGGGCCCTGGTGCTAACCCCCCCCCCACTGCCCCCTTTGCAAGAGCTGCAGCCCTTGGCGTGGGGCGGGGGCTGCTCCTCTGGGGGGCTGCAGCTCCTGGGGGGGGTCTCTGTGACTCGGGGGGTCTCTGCCCCTCTGGGGGTTCCCCCGGTGGGGGTTCAGCCCCTCCCCACGCCCCCCCCCCCTTTTCAGAGTACATGTACCAAGTGATGAAGTTCAACAACTTCGCCCTGCCCAAGGAGGTGAGCTCAGCCCGGGGGGGGGGGGGGGGGGGGGCTCAGGGACCCCCGGCAGGTTTGGGGGTGCGGGGGGTGCCCTAAACCCGTGTGCCCCCCACCCCCACTGCCCAGGCCTTCTACATGGTTCGCTTCCACTCCTTCTACCCCTGGCACGCCCACGGCGACTACGGCCACCTGTGCTCGGAGGAGGACCGGCGCATGCTGCCCTGGGTCCGCGAGCTCAAGTGGGTGTCTGGGGGGGTTGGGGGGCTCGGCCGGGCCCCCCGCGCCTTTGGGGGGTCCAGCTCCCCCTAATCCCGACCCCCCGTCTGCCCCACAGCAAGTTCGACCTGTACACCAAGCAGGAGGAGCTGCCCGACGTGCAGCAGCTCCGCGCGTACTACCAGGGCCTCATCGACAAATACTGCCCGGGGCAGCTCTGCTGGTGACCCCAAAACCTGTTGGTGACCCCCAAAACCCTGCCGGGACCCCCAAAACCCTGCCGGGACCCCCAAATCCCTGCCGGGACCCCCAAAACCCTGCCGGGACCCCCAAAACCCTGCCGGCACCCCCAAAACCCTGCCGGGACCCCGCAGCACCCCCAGGCCCTCCAATAAACCCGCTCCTGCAGCACCCCCGTGCCGGTCCCTCCCCACGGGGGTACCCCTGCCCCGGGCAGGACCCCCCAAATCCCGGGAGAGTGGCGGGGCTGGAATGTCCAAGGCTTTAATTAGAAAATTATAGGAAACCTCTGGGCTCGGGCTGAGCCGGGCGGGGGGAGCACCCCAAAGTGCCTGGGGGACCCCAAAGTGACGCGGGCAGGGTGACAGGAGGGCTGGCACTGCCCCGCGGGCACGGAGCCCCCACCTGCTCTGAGCCCCCCACCCTGGGGTCTGGAGGGGTCCCCAGGGGTCCCTGGGCACTGCAGGGGGGTCACCCACATTGGGGCCGGGGCCCCAAAGGGTCCCCAGACACTGGGACATGTCCCCAAGCACCCCTCAAACCCTAGGGGGGTCCCCAGGGAGCAGGGACAGGTCCCCAGGAGTGCCTGGACACTGGGGAGGTGTCCCCAAGGGGTCCCCAGGCAGAGGGAGGTGTCCCCAAGGGGTCCCCAGGCTGGGGCAGGTGTCCCCATCGACAGAGGGAGGTGTCCCCAAGGGGTCCCCAGGCTGGGGGAGGTGTCCCCAAGGGGTCCCCCAGGCTGAGGGAGGTGTCCCTAAGGGGGTCACCAGGCAGAGGGAGGTGTCCCCAAGGGGTCCCTAGACAGAGGGAGGTGTCCCCAAGGGGTCCCCAGGCAGAGGGAGGTGTCCCCCAGGCTGGGGCAGGTGTCCCCAAGGGGTCCCTCAGACAGGGGGAGGTGTCCCCAAGGGGTCCCCAGGCAGAGGGAGGTGTCCCCAAGCCCCGGGCATGTCCCCAGCCCCACGGCCACACCGTGCTGAAGGCACTGGCACACGGGCACCCCCCGGGCCGGGGTCCCACAAGCGCTGCCCCCCCAGCTGGGGACTCCCTGCCTGTGCCCCATTTCTGGGGGGCTGCGGGGGCTACTTCTTCCTCTTGTTGCCGTGCCGGCCCTCGTTCCCCCGTGCCCCCTCGGTGCCCCGTGCCCCGTTGCGCTCACCCCGGTGGTCCCGGGGCCCTTTGTGGCGGGCGGGGGTCGCGCCCCCCCGGGCCCGCCGGGCCAGGGCCCGCAGCAGCCCCGCGGTGGCGGCCACCAGGTAGAGGGACCAGAGCAGGACAGGGCCCGAGCAGGGCTGGCACAGGCGGCGCACGGAGCCCAGCAGCCGCGGCAGCAGCGCCTGGGCCCCGCGGCGCGGAGGGGGCTGGTCCTGGGGGGAAATGGGGTCAGGGGGCTTGTCCTGGGGGGTGGGGCAGGGGGAAATGAGGTCGGGGGGGAAATAGGGGCAGGGGGCTTGTCCTGGGGGGAGAGGGGGTCAGGGGTCTTGTCCTGGGGGAATGGGGTCAGGGGGAAACAGGGTCAGGGGGGAAATAGGGGCAGGGGGCTTGTCTTGGGGGGAAAGGGGGTCAGGGGTCTTGTCCTGGGGGAATGGGGTCAGGAGGGCTTATCCTGGGGGGAAAAGGGGTCAGGGGGATTGTCCTGGGGGAAAAGGGGTTCAGGGGGGGTTTGTGCTGGGGGACAAATGGGGTCAGGGTGTGGGACGGGACTGGGGGTGCCGGAAAAGGGTCAGGGGCCAAAAAGGGTGATCGTGGTGTGGGAGGGAAGAGGGTCTGAGTAAGGGAAGGGGGGATGGGGGCTGATAAAGGGGATCAGGGTGAGGGAATGGGGTTGGGGGCCGAGAAAGGGGCTCGGGGCAAGTGAAAGGGGTCAGGGAGGGGGAGGTGGGGCCAGGGGGTCAAGGGAGAGATGGGGGTGAGGGAAGGGGGAGATCAGGGGCTGAAAAAGGGGGTCAGGGGCTGAAAAAGGGGATCAGGGGCTGAAAAAGGGGGTCAGGGGGCCAAGGAAGTGGGACAGGGAGAGGGAAGGGGGAGATCGGGGGCTGAAAAAGGGGGTCAGGGGCTGAAAAAGGGGGTCAGGGGTGAGGGAAGGGGGCTGAAAAAGGGGGTCAGGGGGCCAAAAAAGTGGGGCAGGGAGAGGGAAGGGGGCTTGAGGGGTGAAGGGCGCGGGAAGGGGATGGAGGTGAAGGAAGAGAGGGACAGAGCAATGCAATAGGGTCAGGGTGGGTCGGGGGCAAGGAACTGGGGTCGGGATCAGGGCGGTGGGATCAGCAGCGTTGAAGGCTGGGGGTCAGGAGCCAGGGAGGGGTCTCCCCGTGCCCACCTTGAGGCCGTGCTGGCTGAGCAGGGACTCCAGCGTGGGGTCACCCAGGGACACGGCCGGGAAGAACTCCTGCACGCGCTGCCGCCGCCACCACGGCGCGGGGCTGCGGGCACGGGGGGTCCGGTGAGCCCAAAGCCCCCCGAGGCCGGGCTGGGGGCTGCAGGGGTCCCTCCCCGCTCACCTGCCCTCGCTGGGGGTCGTGAACCAGTACTTGTAGAGATGGGCCCGCAGGAAGGTGGGAGGGCGGGCGTGGAACGGGTACCGGGACTCGTCGGTCTGCACCAGGCGGATCACTGCGGGACAGGGGCAGAGCTGGGACAGCCTGGCATGGTGGGGACAGCCCTGGTGTACCCCAAAACACACCCAGGGACAGCCCCAGTGCAGCGGGGACAGCCCCAGTGCACCCCAAAACACAGCAGGGACAGCCCCAGTGCACCCCAAACACACCCAGGGACAGCCCTGGTGTACCCCAAACACAGCAGGGACAGCCCCAGCACAGCGGGGACAGCCCTGGTGCACCCCAAACACAGCAGGGACAGCCCCAGTGCACCCCAAACACAGCGGGGACAGCCCCAGTGCACCCCAAACACAGCGGGGACAGCCCCAGTGCACCCCAAAACACAGCGGGGACAGCCCCAGCACAGCGGGGACAGCCCCAGTGCACCCCAAAACACAGCAGGGACAGCCCTGGCACAGTGGGGACAGCCCCAGCACACCCCAAACACAGCAGGGACAGCCCCAGGGCACCCCAAACACAGCAGGGACAGCCCCAACACAGTGGGGACAGCCCCAGTGCACCCCAAACACACCCAGGGACAGCCCCAGTGCACCCCAAACACAGCAGGGACAGCCCCAGTGCACCCCAAACACAGCAGGGACAGCCCCAGTGCACCCCAAACACAGCAGGGACAGCCCCAGTGCACCCCAAAACACAGCAGGGACAGCCCCAGTGCACCCCAAACACAGCAGGGACAGCCCCAGCACAGCGGGGACAGCCCTGGTGCACCCCAAACACAGCAGGGACAGCCCCAGTGCACCCCAAACACAGCGGGGACAGCCCCAGTGCACCCCAAACACAGCGGGGACAGCCCCAGTGCACCCCAAACACCCCGCGGGGACAGCCCCAGCACAGCGGGGACAGCCCCAGTGCACCCCAAAACACAGCAGGGACAGCCCCAACACAGCAGGGACAGCCCTGGTGTACCCCAAAACACAGTGGGGACAGCCCCAGTGCACCCCAAACACAGTGGGGACAGCCCCAGCACAGCAGGGACAGCCCCAGTGCACCCCAAACACACCCAGGGACAGCCCCGGTGTACCCCAAAACACAGCAGGGACAGCCTGGCACGGCAGGGACGGACCCAGTGTACCCCAAAACACAGTGGGGACAGCCCCAGTGCACCCAAACACAGCAGGGACAGCCCCAGCACAGCGGGGACAGCCCCAGTGCACCCCAAACACACCCAGGGACAGCCCCAGTGCACCCCAAACACAGCAGGGACAGCCCCAGGAAACCCCAAACACACCCAGGGACAGCCCCAGTGCACCCCAAACACACCCAGGGACAGCCCCAGTGCACCCCAAACACAGCAGGGACAGACCCAGTGCACCCAAAACACAGCAGGGACAGCCCCAGCACAGCAGGGACAGCCCCAGTGCACCCCAAACACAGCGGGGACAGCCCCAGTGCACCCCAAACACAGCAGGGACAGCCCCAGTGCACCCCAAACACAGCTGGGACAGCCCCGGCACAGTGGGGACAGCCCCAGTGCACCCCAAACACACCCAGGGACAGCCCCAGTGCACCCCAAAACACAGCAGGGACAGCCCTGGCACAGTGGGGACAGCCCCAGCACACCCCAAACACAGCAGGGACAGCCCCGGTGCACCCCAAACACACCCAGGGACAGCCCCAACACAGCGGGGACAGCCCCAGTGCACCCCAAACACACCCAGGGACAGCCCCAGTGCACCCCAAACACAGCAGGGACAGCCCCAGTGCACCCCAAACACAGCAGGGACAGCCCCAGTGCACCCCAAACACAGCAGGGACAGCCCCAGTGCACCCCAAACACAGCGGGGACAGCCCCAGTGCACCCCAAACACAGCAGGGACAGCCCCAGTGCACCCCAAACACAGATGGGACAGCCCCAGCACAATGGGGACAGCCCCAGTGCACCCCAAACACGCCCAGGGACAGCCCCAGCACAGTGGGCAGAACCCAAACCTAAACAGGGACGCCCCAAACACACCCGGGGACACCCCCAAGGCTGCAGGAACACCCCAAACCCAAACAGGGACACCCCAAAACCACGGTGGTACCGATGCTGGGGAGGTCCCACCATACCCTGGGTCCCCAGAGCCCCCAGCCCCATGTCCCCTCTCCCCAGCCCCATGTCCCCTCTCCCCAGCCCCATATCCCCTCTCCCCAGCCCCGTGTCCCGTCCCCAGCCCCATATCCCCTCTCCCCAGCCCCATATCCCCTCTCCCAGCCCCGTGTCCCCTCTCCCCAGCCCCATATCCCCACTCCCCAGCCCCATATCCCCTCTCCCCAGCCCCATATCCCCTCTCCCCAGCCCCATATCCCCTCTCCCCAGCCCCATATCCCCACTCCCCATCCCCATATCCCCTCTCCCCAGCCCCATATCCCCTCTCCCCAGCCCCATATCCCCTCTCCCCAGCCCCATATCCCCTCTCCCCAGCCCCATATCCCCCCCCCAGCCCCATATCCCGCCCCTGACCGTCGGGCTGTCCCTGCAGCAGGCGCAGCAGCAGGGCACTGAACCAGGGGCTGCCCTGGTGGGGCCCGAGGGCGGCGAACCAGAGCTGCCAGTCCAGGCGGGGCTGGTGCGGGGCCACCACGGCCGGGGCCACGCTCACGTTCCCGGGCTTGTACATGAACTCGATCTCCTGCGGGATGGCAGCGGCTGGCACGGCAGCGGGCACGGGCAGGGCATGGCACCCATCCCACCCAGTGCCCAGAGCCGCCTCAGCCCCGGGAAAAGGATATTCCCACCCAAAATCCTGGGATTCTGGAGCAGGATACCTCCAGCACCTGATCCTCACCAGGAAAAGGACATTCCCACCCAAAATCCCAGGATTCTGTAATAGGGACACTGCCAGAACCCATTCCAATTAAGTGCCTGGAGTCACCTCAGCCCCGGGAAAAGGACATTCCCACCCAAAATCCTGGGATTCTGGGGCAGGACACCTCCAGAACCCATTCCTACCCAGCGCCTGGAACAGCCTCAGACCCGGGAAAAGGATATTCCCGCCCAAAATCCTGGGGTTCTGTAACAGGGACACCTCCAAAACCTGATCCTCACCAGGAAAAGGACATTCCTGCCCAAAATCCTGGGGTTCTGTAATAGGGACACTGCCAGAACCCATTCCAATTGAGACTCACCATCCAGCTGTGCCCATCCCTGTGCCTATCCCAGACTCACCGTCCAGCTGTGCCCATCCAGCTGTGCCCATCCCTGTGCCCATCCCAGACTCACCATCCAGCTGTGCCCATCCCAGACTCACCGTCCAGCTGTGCCCACCCAGCTGTGCCCATCCCAGACTCCCCATCCAGCTGTGCCCATCCCAGACTCACCGTCCAGCTGTGCCCATCCCTGTGCCCATCCCAGACTCACCCTCCAGCTGTGCCCATCCCTGTGCCCATCCCAGACTCACCGTCCAGCTGTGCCCATCCCAGACTCCCCATCCAGCTGTGCCCATCCCAGACTCACCGTCCAGCTGTGCCCATCCCTGTGCCCATCCCAGACTCACCATCCAGCTGTGCCCATCCCTGTGCCCATCCCAGACTCCCCGTCCAGCTGTGCCCATCCCAGACTCACCGTCCAGCTGTGCCCATCCCTGTGCCCATCCCAGACTCACCGTCCAGCTGTGCCCATCCCTGTGCCCATCCCAGACTCACCGTCCAGCTGTGCCCATCCCAGACTCACCATCCAGCTGTGCCCATCCCAGACTCACCGTCCAGCTGTGCCCATCCCTGTGCCCATCCCAGACTCACCATCCAGCTGTGCCCATCCCTGTGCCCATCCCAGACTCACCGTCCAGCTGTGCCCATCCCAGACTCACCATCCAGCTGTGCCCATCCCTGTGCCCATCCCAGACTCACCGTCCAGCTGTGCCCATCCCTGTGCCCATCCCAGACTCACCATCCAGCTGTGCCCATCCCAGACTCACCGTCCAGCTGTGCCCACCCCAGACTCACCGTCCAGCTGTGCCCACCCCAGACTCACCGTCCAGCTGTGCCCGTCGTAGCTGCCCTCCAGGATGACCTCGGGCCGGCCGCCCACGCCGGTCATCCTGCGGAAGAGCCCGTAGGAGTTGACCAGCTGGAAGCGCTCCACGGCCCCGAACATCTGGTGGATGCCGGGCCACAGCTTCCCGTTGGACTCGTGCTCGATGTAGGTGAAGGGCACCTGGGGGGCAGGGGGGCTCTGTCACGGCCTGGGGGGTTTGGGGGTCCCCAGGAGCCCCGTGGCCCCCAGCCTCACCAGGCTGACAGCGAACAGCCCCACGGTGGCCGTGCCCATGATGGCCCACTGCAGGGTGGCCCAGAGCTTCCAGAAGCATCCCCGGAGGCAGACACAGCTGGGGGGGCACAAATGGGGTGTTGTGGGGGCAAAGAGGCTCAGCCCCCCTGGTTTGGGGGTTAAACCCCTCCACACTGAGTCTGACTGCTCAAATCCCGGAGTGGGGTCACCCCTTCCCAGCTCCCAGGGTGTCACCTTAGTGTCCCCCATGCCCCCAGGGGCACCCCAGTGTCCCCCATTCCCCTAGGGGCACCCCAGCATGTCCCCTAAAGCCCCAGGGTCACCCCGGTGTCCCCCACACCCTTAGGGTCACCCCGATGTCCCCTATACTTCCAGGGGCACCCCGGTGTCCCCCATGGTCCTGAGGGCACCCCAGTGTCCCCCACAGCCCCAAGGTCACCCCGGTGTCCCCCATGGCCCCGGGGGCACCCCGGTGTCCCCCATGGGCATCTCAGTGTCCCCCATGCTCCTGGGGCACCCTGGTGTCCCCCACAGCCCCAGGGTCACCCCAGTGACCCCCACACCCCTGGGGTCACCTCAGCATCCCCCATGGCCCTGAGGACACCCCAGTGTCCCCCACAGCCCCAGGGGCACCCCGGTGTCCCCCACGCCCCCAGGGTCACCCCAGTGTCTCCCACACCCCTGGGGTCACCTCAGTGTCCCCCACGCCCCCGGGGTCACCTCAGTGTCCCCCACACCCCCAGGGGCACCCCGGTGTCCCCCAGACGCACCGGTACAGGGCCACCAGGATCTCCCAGGACAGGGACAGGAAGGCCACCCCGACCAGCGGCAGGGTCACGGTGCGCAGCCAGGTGGTGAACTCGTGGTAGGTGAAGGCTGCAGGAGGGACAGCCCGGCTCAGGCCCGGCCCCGGTGCCCGGGGGAGGGCGCAGGGCTGTGCCCCCGGCACGTACCCACTCTGGACTCCAGCACCCTCCTGTCCCAGTCCAGCTCCAGGCCGAAGTAGCGCATGGTCCAGCAGAGCAGCAGCCCGTAGGTGCTGAGCTCCAGCAGCGTGCCCAGCACCCAGCCCAGCCTGGGGGGCCAGCCTGGGGCAGGGAGGGCTCAGAGCCGGCCCGGGACCCCCCTCACCGCCCTGGGGTCGCCCACGGGCACAGGGCCCTGCCCACGGTGTCACCCGCCTGTCCCCTGCCCAGCCTGGAAAGGACCCCCCAAAACCAGGGATGATGGGGGGCCCAGTGCTTCCAGCGCTGCAGGGAAAGGGAGTGAGGAGGGAAAGGGCAGCAGCAGCAGGACCTCACTGGGACACAGAATTCCCAAGGGTGGGGGCCCCTTGGGGGGTGACAGCAGTGCCAGAATTCCAAAAGGTGGGAGCCCCTTGTGGGGTGACAGCAGTGCCAGAATTCCAAAATGTGGGAGCCCCTTGCGGGGTAACAGCAGTGCCAAGAGGGATGGCCTCACACAGATCATTTATCCTTCCTTAATTCCCTGATTTCAGAGGGAAGTGAAACCTCCTCCTCCTCCTCCCCCACACGTGGCTCTGACCCACGGGAGCTCCAGCACCAGGGAGGATCCAGGGAATCCTGGAATGGTTTGGGTGGGAAGGGACCCCCAAAGTTCTCCAGTGCCACCCTGCCATGGCAGGGACACCTCCCACTGCCCCAGGCTGCTCCAGCCCCAGTGTCCAACATTTCCTTGGCCATTCCAGGGATCCAGGGGCAGCCCCAGGTGCTCTGGAAATTCCTCATTCCCAATCTCCCATCCATCCCTCTGGCAGTGGGAGCCATTCCCTGTGTCCTGTCCCTCTGTCCCTTGTCCCTGCCCTGGGGGCTGGAAGGGGATGGGATTTACAGCCCCTTCCCACCCCAAACATTCCCTGATTTCACAACTGTGCCCCACACCCCTGGGGTCCCCCAGGCACAGCCGGGGTGAGCGTGGCAGCTCCCGCAGCGTGTCCCCCGTGTCCCCTGTCCCCCCAGGAAGGGTCCCCCACCCCGAGGGGGGCTCGGGGGTCTCACCAGCACCGTGCCTCTTGCGGGGCCGGCCCAGCCAGCGCCCCACGTGCTGCTCGTCCAGCAGGGAGGAGGTCAGCACGATGGTCAGCGCGTTGAAGAAGTTGTAGTTGCCCGTGAGGATGATGAGGACCTGCAGCAGCACCTGGGGGGGACAGGGTGGGGTCGGGGGGTGTCACACGGGGCTGGGGGGCAGAGGATGCTGGGCACAGCCTGACCAGCACCTCCAGCCAACAAAGAGTGAGCACGTCAGTATCTAACCCACACTAAACACAGCAGATATGGCACCTAAAAAATCCCAAAGTTAATGAAATCTCAAATCAACAAAGACTGAGTACACCAGTAATTAGCCAACACTTAACCCACCACACTCACTAGTATGCCACCCCAAAAAAATCTCTAAATTAATAAAATCTCAGATCAACAAAGAGTGAGCAGGCCAGTATCTAACCCACACTAAACCCCGCAGATATGCCACCTAAAAAACCCCAAAATTAATGAAATGCCAAATGAACAAAGACTGAGTGCACCAATAATTAACCCACACTAAACCCACCACACTCACTAATATGCCACCCCAAAAAACCCCAAATTAATAAAATCTCAAATCAACAAAGAGTGAGTACACCAGTAACTAGCCAACACTAAACCCACCGCACTCACCAGTACACCACCCAAAAAAATCTCAAAATTAATAAAATTTCAGATCAACAAAGAGTGAGTACACCAGTATCTAACCCACACTAAACACAGCAGATATGCCACCTAAAAAATCCCAGAATTAATGAAATGTCAAATCAACAAAGACTGAGTACACCAGTAATTAGCCAACACTAAACCCAACACAGTCACTAGTATGCCGCCTAAAAAAAATCTCAAAATTAATAAAATCTCAGATCAACAAAGAGTGAGCACGCCAGTATCTAACCCACACTAAACCCAGCAGATATGCCACCTAAAAAATCCCAAAGTTAATGAAATGTCAAATCAACAAAGACTGAGTGCACCAATAATTAACCCACACTAAACCCACCACGCTCACTAGTATGCCACCCAAAAAAATCCCAAATTAATAAAATCCCAAATCAACAAATCAACAGAGTGAGTACACCAGTAACTAGCCAACACTAAACCCACCACACTCACCAGTACACCACCCAAAAACAAATCTCTAAATTAATAAAATCTCAAATCAACAAAGAGTGAGTACACCAGTAATTAGCCAACGCTAAACCCAGCACAGTCACTAGCATGCCACCCAAAAAAATCTCTAAATTAATAAAATCTCAGATCAACAAAGAATGAGCACGTCAGTATCTAACCCACACTAAACACAGCAGATATGCCACCTAAAAAATCCTAAAATTAATGAAATGCCAAATGAACAAAGACTGAGTGCACCAATAATTAACCCACACTAAACCCACCACACTCACTAATATGCCACCCCAAAAAAACCCAAATTAATAAAATCTCAAATCAACAAAGAGTGAGTATGCTAATAATTAACCCGCACTAAACCCACCGCACTCACCAGTACACCACCCAAAAAAAAAATCTCTAAATTAATAAAATCTCAGATCAACAAAGAGTGAGCACGCCAGTATCTAACCCACATTAAACCCAGCAGACTTGCTAGTATGCCACCTCAAAAAAACCCCAAAATTGATAAAATCTCAACTCAACAAAGAGTACACCAGTAACTAGCCAACACTAAACCAAGCACAGTCACTAGTACACCACCCAAAAAATTTTCAAAATTGATAAAATCTCAAATAAACAAAGACTAAGTACACTAGTAATTAGCCAACATTAAACCAAGCACACTCACTAGTACGCCACCCAAAAAAATCCCAAAATTAATAAAATCTCAAATCAATAGACTTAGTATGCTAATAACTGACCCACACTAAACGCACCGCACCCACCAGTACACCACCCCAAAAAAATCTCAAAATTAATAAAATCTCAGATCAACAAAGAGCGAGCACACTAGTATCTAACCCACACTAAACCCTGCAGATATGCCACCTAAAAAATCCCAAAATTAATGAAATGTCAAATCAACAAAGACTGAGTGCACCAGTAATTAGCCAACACTAAACCCAGCACACTCACTAATATGCCACCCAAAAAAATCCCAAAGTTAATGAAATCTCAAATCAACAGAGTGAGTACACCAGTAATTAGCCAACACTAAACCCAGCACTCACTAGTACGTCACCCAAAAAAAATCCCAAAATTAATAAAATATCAAATCAACAGACTTAGTATGCTAATAATTAACCCACACTAAACCCACCACACCCACCAGCCCACCACCCAACACCCCCAGATGAACAAAACCCCAACCCCCAGGCAGAACCCCGCAGCAGCAGCAGCAGGAGGCACCTGGCAGTAGAAGGCGAAGAGGCGCAGGCGGCGCAGGGGCGCGAAGAAGAGCGCGGGCACGGCCACCTCGATGACGTAGGTGCCCACCACGCTGAGCTTCTGGAACCACACGGGCAGCTGGTGGGCCAGCCAGGCGCCCGGCGTGGGGATGCACTGGCTCTCGTAGTGGTAGGTCAGCGCTGGGGGGCACAGGAGGTTCCAGGTGGGCTTTCCATAATTTATTTCCCACAAAATTGAACCTAATTCGGGGTTAATCCCAGTTTCCCCCACTGCAGAGCACGAGCAATGCTGAAAACTTCCTGGTGTAAAAATATTTCCAAATTGAGGGGTACCTCGGGGCTGGGGGACAGATTCCAGGGGGGCTTTCCATAATTTACTTCCCAAAAATTGAACCCAATTCAGGGTTAATCCCAGTTTTTTTTCCATGGCAGAGTATGAGCAATTCTGGGAATTCCAGAATCAGAATTCCAAATTAAGTGGTACCTCAGGGACGGGGGACACAGGGGGTTTCAGGGGGGATTTTCCATAACCTGCTTCCCAATGATTCCCTGGAATTCCAGGCTAATGGAGATTTTCCCCATTGTAGAATAGAATCAGTGCTAAACAGGGAAAAGCTTCCTCGCAGAAAAATCCAAATTCAATGGTACCTCAGAATGGGGAGGACATAATCTACTTCCCAATAATTCACTGCAATTCCAGGCTAGTGACTGAACCCCCAAACCTGTGCCCCCCAACACCTGAACCCCAAAACCCCCTCACCTGTGAGCCCCCAAACCTGAACCCCAAAGCCCCTCTCTCACCTGTGAGCCCCCAAGACCTGAACCCAAAGTCCCCCAAACCTGAACCCCAAAGCCTCTCTCTCACCTGTGAGACCCCCAAACCTGAACCCCAAAGCCTCTCTCTCACCTGTGAGACCCCCAAACCTGAACCCCAAAGCCTCTCTCTCACCTGTGAGACCCCCAAACCTGAACCCCAAAGCCCCCTCTCACCTTTGAGACCCCCAAACCTGAACCCCAAAGCCCCTCTCTCACCTGTGAGCCCTCAACACCTGAACCCCAAAGCCCCCTCTCACCTTTGAGACCCCCAAACCTGAACCCAAAGCCCCTCCTCACCTGTGAACCCCCCAAGACCTGAACCCAAAGCCCCCCAAACCTGAACCCCAAAGCCCCCCCTCACCTGTGAGCCCCCAAGACCTGAACCCCAAAGCCCCACAACACCTGAACCCCAAAGCCCTGAACCCCAAAGCCCCCCTCACCTGTGAGCCCCCAAACCTGAACCCCAAAGCCCCCCCTCACCTGTAAGCCCCCAACACCTGAACCCCAAAGCCCCCCTCTCACCTGTGAGCCCCCCAAATCCCCTCTCTCACCTGTGAGCTCCCCAACACCTGAACCCCAAAGCCCCCCCTCACCTGTGAGCCCCCCAAATCCCCTCTCTCACCTGTGAGCCCCCCAATACCTGAACCCCAAAGCCCCCCCTCACCTGTGAGACCCCAAACCTGAACCCCAAATCCCCCCTCACCTGTGAGCCCCCCAAACCTGAACCCAAAGCCCCCCAAACCTGAACCCCCAAGCCCCCCTCACCTGTGAGCCCCCACCAGGTGGGGCAGCGGCTGGTGAGCTTCACCACGCCCGAGGCGAACATGAGGCGGAAGAGCAGCCAGCGCACGGCCCAGAAGGTGACGGCGTCGTGGGGTCTCCAGGCCGGGGACCCCCACCGCAGCAGGCGCAGGGGGGCCACCAGCACGGCCAGGAACCCGGCCTCCAGCAGCAGGCTGTCCCTGGGCGGGGGGCACGGCGCTGGGACCCCCGCCCTGCACCCCACACGGGGCTGGGGACACGGCCATGCCCCGCTCGTGGGGCTGGGGACATGGCCACACAGCCAAAGTGGGGCTGGGGACACTGCCATGCCTTGTATGTGGGGCTGGGGACATGGCCACCATCTATATGTGGGGCTGGGGCACAGCCACCATCTATATGTGGGGCTGGGGACACGGCCACCCCATGTATGTGGGGCTCCCCGCCCCGATGAGCCTCAGTCCCCACAGTCCCCCACAGCCCCTGTCCTTGTCCCCAGAGCCCCCCCCACCCCTCACTCTGGTCCCCAGAGCCCCCTGCCCCACTGTGTCACCATCCCACCCCTCAGAACCCCCTGTGCCCCCCGCCCTGGGGTCCCGGGGTGGTTCCCCAGCCCCCCAAAAGCCCCGGGGAGGGGGCCCCGACTCACCACTGGAAGTACAGGAACACCTGCCCCACCTGCGGAGGGGGAGCGGGGTGGGGGCTCAGCCGGGGGGTCTGACACCCCCAGACCCTTCCCCGTGGGGAGAGACCCCCTGGGCTCCCCGGGACTCTGGGCCAAGGAGCAGAGGGAGGTGACAGCCACCCCTGGGAGGTGACAGCCACCCCGGGGAGGTGACAGCAGTGCCAGGAGGGATGGCCTCACACAGACCATTTATCCTTCCTTAATTCCCTGATTTCAGAGGGAAGTGAAACCTCCTCCTCCTCCTCCCACACATGGCTCTGACCCACGGGAGCTCCAGCCCCAGGGAGGATCCAGGGAATCCTGGGATGGGCTGGGTGGGAAGGGACCCCCAAAGTTCTCCAGTGCCACCCTGCCATGGCAGGGACACCTCCCACTGCCCCAGGCTGCTCCAGCCCCAGTGTCCAACATTTCCTTGGGCATTCCAGGGATCCAGGGGCAGCCCCAGCTGCTCTGGGAATTCCTCATTCCCAATCTCCCATCCACCCTCTGGCAGTGGGAGCCATTCCCTGTGTCCTGTCCCTCTGTCCCTTGTCCCCAGTCCCTCTGCAGCTCTGCTGGATGGCCTCGGGCACAGCGGGACGTGTCCCTACCGTGGGGGCTGGAATGGGATGGGATTTCCAGCCCCTTCCCACCCCACCCATCCCCTGTCTCCATCTCTGTGCCTCCCCCAGCACGCCAGGAGCTGGCAGGACGCGCCACCACCCCGCTGTCCCCTCTGTCCCCGCTGTCCCCTCACCTGGTACAGCGACAGGTAGAACCCAGCGAGCAGAGCGAACACCAGGCAGTCCCTCAGGGCGTCCCAGAGCAGCGCCCCGAGCGCAGCCAGCACGCCCAGCAGGCACAGCAGCTCCATGCCCTGCTCCGTGTCCAGCCCCAGGCGCGGGCACAGCCACAGCAGCGTGGGCACGTCCCGCAGCTGCTCCCACAGCCCCTTCCCGCCGGGCCGCAGCACGCGGCGCGCCGGCAGCAGCCCCGAGCGCCCGTACAGCCCTGCCGGGAGGGACCTGCTGGCCTCTGAGCCCCAAAAACTCTGCCCAGCACGGGTTAACCCCGCATTTCCCCACCCCAGAGCACCAGCAAGGCCAAAACTTCCTGCTGCAAAAGTGTTTCCAAATTGAGGGGCACCTTGGGGCTGGGGGACACAGGGGGCTTTCCATAATCTAATTCCTAAAAATTGAACCTAATTCGGGATTAACCCCAGATTTCCCCACCACAGAGCACCAGCAAGGCTAAAACTTCCTGCTGCAAACGTGTTTTCAAATTACCTCGGGGCTGGGGGACACAGGGGGCTTTGGGGAGGCTTTCCATAATCTACTTCCCAAAAATTGAACCTAATTTGGGGTTAATCCCAGTTTTCCCCACCACAGAGCACAAAAACTTCCTGCTGCAAAAGTGTTTCCAAATTACCTCGGGGCTGGGGGGCTTCAGAGGGGGCCTTTCCATAATATATTTCCCAAAAATTGAACTCAATTCAGGGTTAACCCCAGATTTCCTCACCCCAGTGCATGAGCAAGGCTAAAACTTCCTGCTGCAAAAGTGTTTCCAAATTACCTCGGGGCTGGGGGGTTTCAGAGTGGGCCTTTCCATAATTTATTTCCCAAAAATTGGACCTAATTCAGGGTTAACCCCAGATTTCCCCACTATCCTGGTTCCCCTGGCCCCACTCCCGGTTCCCCCGGCCCCACTCCCGTCCATATCCCGGTTCCCCCGGCTCCACTCCCGGCTCTGTCCCGGTTCTCCCGGCCCCACTCCCAGCCCTATCCCGGTTCCCCGTCCCTGTCCCGGTTCCCCGGCTCTATCCCAGTTCCCCCGGCCCCACTCCCGGCTCTGTCCCGGTTCTCCCAGCCCTATCCCGGTTCCCCGTCCCTATCCCGGTTCTGTCCCGGTTCCCCCGGCCCCACTCCCAGCCCTATCCCGGTTCCCCCGTCCCTATCCCGGTTCCCCGTCCCTATCCCGGTTCACCCGGCCCCACTCCCAGCCCTATCCCGGTTCCCCCGGCTCCACTCCCGGCTCCGCCCCGGTTCCCCCGTCCCCAGTCCCAGCCCTATCCCGGTTCCCCCGTCCCTATCCCGGTTCCCCCGTCCCCACTCCCAGCCTTATTCCCGGTTCCCCAATCCCTGTCCCGGTTCCCCCGACCCCAGTCCCAGCCTTATCCCGGTTCCCCCCTCGCTATCCCGGTTCCCCGGCTGCACTCCCGGCTCCGCCGCGGTTCCCCCGGCCCCGTGCCCGTTCCCCGCGGCGGTACCGGGGATCTGCACGTAGAGGGAGCCGAAGGCGGCGATGTAGACCGCGGCCAGCCCGGCCAGGAACAGCGCCCGCGGCCGCGCCAGCCCCGCCGTGGCGGCCATGGCGGCGCGCGGCGATGACGTCAGCGGCGCCGTGACGTCAGCGGCGCGCGGGGCGCGTCACGGAGCGCGGGAAGGACGAAAATGGCGGCGGCGGCAACCGGGGGATGAGGAGGGGCCGGTGAGGGGCGGGATCGGGGATGGGATGGGGACTGGGACCGGGATCGGGATCACAGTCAGGACTGAGGTTTGTATAGGGTCCGGGATCAGGATCATGATTGGAATTGAAGTTTGGATGGGGATCAGGGTCACAGTCGGGATTGATCTTTGGATGGCGACTGGGTTCGGGATCGGGATCATGGTCGGGATTGAGGTTTGGATGGGGTCTGGGATTGGGAACAGGATCACGGTCAGGATCAAGGTTTGGATGGGGACCGGGATCGGGATCATGGTTGGAATTGAGGTTTGGATGGGGATCAGGGTCATGGTCAGGATTGAGGTTTGGATGGGGACTGGGATCGGGATCACGGTTGGAATCAAGATTTGGATGGGGACCAGGATCGGGATCATGGTTGGAATTGAGGTTTGGATGGGGTCTGGGATTGGGATCAGGGTCATAGTTAGGATTAAGGTTTGGATGGGGACCAGGATCAGGATCAGGGTCAGGATTGAGGTTTGGATGGGGACTGGGATCGGGATTGGGATTGGGATCAGCGTCAGGATTGAGGTTTGGAAGGGGACCAGGATCAGAATCATGGCTGGAATTGAGGTTTGGATGGGCACTGGGATTGGGATCGGGATCATGGTCGGGATTGAGGTTTGGATGGGGACCAGGATCAGGATCACGGTTGGAATCAAGGTTTGGATGGGGATCAGGGTCACGGTCAGGATTGAGGTTTGGATGGGCACTGGGATTGGGATCAGAATCACGGTCGGGATTGATGTTGAGAGCGCAGTTGGGGTAGGGATCGGGATGGGAATTGGGGTCGGGGTCTGCATGGGGATTGATTTGGGATCGAGAGTGGAACTGAAGATGGGGTTGGGATTGGGATCGAGGCTGGGTACAGGACCAGGGCAGAGTTAGGGATGGGAATTGGGGTCGGCGTCAGGTGAGGGGATCGGACCGGGATCAGGGCTGGGACTGGGCTCCAGACTGGGAATGAGTTTCAGGTCGGCTCAGGGTAGAGACTGAAGTTAGGGTCAGGGTCAGGATTGGGATCACGGTCAGGGTGAGAATCAGGGTCAGGATTGGGATTGGGGTCACGATCAGGGTCAAAGTCAGGACCAGGCTTGGCAGTGGGATTGGGGTGGGGATTTTCCAGCCCAAACAATTCCCTGTAGCCTGAGCTGTCCCCGTTCCCACCCAGCCGAGCTGTGATTCCTGCAGAACTCCCCCTGGAGCTGTCCAGGACACTCATTCCCTGAGGGAGCAGCTTCCAGCCACTTTTGGGCTCTCTGCAGTGGGGATCCCACCATGGAGGAGGTGGATTCCCGTTTCCAGCACCTGCTGCAGCCCATCCGTGACCTCACCAAGAACTGGGAGGTGGATGTGGCTGCCCAGCTCGGGGAGTACCTGGAGGAGGTAACGGGGACACCCCCAGAGCTCCTTGTGTCCCCTGCCCCTCCTTTTCCCTGTCCTTTTTCCTCCTTTTCTTCCTCATTTTCTTCCTCCTTTTCTTGCTCTTTTTATTCCTCATTTTCCCTCTCCTTTGCCCTCCTTTTCTTCCTTTTGTCCCTCTCCCCCTTCTTTTCTCCCTCTTTTTATTCCTCCTTTTCTTCCTTTTATCCCTCTTTTCCCCCTCATTTTCTTTCATTTTTCTTCCTTTTCTTCCTCTCTTTCCCTCTCCTTTTATCCCTCCTTTTCTCTCTTTTTTCCTTTTTTAATTTATTTTATCCCTCTTTCCCCCTCTATTTCTTCCTCTTTTTATCCCTCCTTTTCTTCCTTTTCTTTCTCATTTTCTCTCTCCTTTTTCCTCCTTTTATCTCTCCTTTTCTTCCTTTCTTTCCCCCTCCTTTTTCCTCCTCTTATTCCTTTTCTTGCTCTGATTCCTCCTCCTTTTATCCCTCCATTTCTCCTCCTTTTCTCTCTCCTTTTTTCTCCTTTTATGCCTCCTTTTCTTCCTTTTCTCCCTCTCCTTTTTCCTCCTTTCCTCTGTTTCCTCCTCCCTTTGTCCCTCTGTTTATCCTTCCTCTTCTTCTGTTTCTTCCTCCTTTTATCCCTCTTTTTGTCCCTCCTTTTCTCCCTCCTTTTCTCTGTCCTTTTTCCTCCTATATCCCTCATTTTCTTCCTTTTCTCCCTCTCCTTTTTTTCTTATTCTCCCTCTCCTTTTTCCTCCTTTTCTTCCTCCGTTTCCTCCTCCTTTTATCCCTCTTTTTATCCCAAAACCTGACAGAAACCCCTTGTAGGTCTGCATGCAACACCGAGGTAAGGTGTGCTGACTTCAAGCCATAAAACAGAAATTACATTGTTGAGAGGGAAATTGGACTGGAAACAAATTTCAAAATGGGGCCTTCCAAAAGAATTTCATAGAATTAAAATTTTAGTTCAATTAAAAATTTAATTTTAGAGAATTAAAGCTGTGGAAGATGCTTTGTAGCAAGACTGTGTGGATTAAAAATATAAGTGATTAGTGTTAGAATTAATAGTAGAATTGTGTGGCAGAAATAAGCTGAAAAAATAAAGGATTGTAACCATGAAATAAGTTAGCTTCTAATAGAACAACGTTGAGTTTTACATCTGTCTCACCCTGCACCGAGGCCGATAACAGAATAAAATCTTTTAAAACACCTCTCAGTCACCCCATTTCTAAAAGTAAAACCCAACATTGCCTCTCCCAGCTGGACCAGATCTGCATCTCCTTCGACAACGGCAAAACCACCATGAACTTCATGGAGGCAGCGCTGCTGATCCAGGGCTCTGCCTGCATCTACAGCAGGAAGGTGAGCACACCCCTCACCCCATCCCCATCCCATGGGAGTGATTTCAGCTCATTGTCTCAAATTTTCTCCTAATTTCTCCTAATTTCCCTCCTAAATTTGATCCGCTTGTAGGTGCTGGTGTAGGCACCTTCCCCTCCCAGGGAACAGCAGGGATTTTGCTGTCCTGCAGGGTGGGATGTAAAATCCAATTTCGTCACAAAATCATGGGATATTGGTTCTTTTTGAGCACAAAGTCCTGGAATGGTTTGGGTAGGAGGGGACCTCAAAGCCCATCCAGAGGGCAGGGACACTTTCCACTGTCCCAGGCTGCTCCAAATTTAGGGATTTCCTCAAGTTTGGCCATGGAACGGCTGAAAAAAAAAGGGAAAAGAGCAGCAAAACCCCATAGAATTGAGGTCCATAATGGGAGGGGGGGAGTCCCTCGGGTGGAGGGCCTTTCCCAGCTCCAGCTGCTGTTTTCCAGGTGGAATACCTGTACATGCTGGTGTGCCAGACGCTGGACTGCATCTCCAACAAACAGTGAGTGGGATTTTCCCTTCCCAGAGGGGAATTTGTCCTGCAGGACCCTTGCTCTGGCTCTGTGCTGCTGCTGCCCTGATCCTGGGCCATCCCCATTCCCATCCCTGCCCTGGGAGGTGCATCCCAGCCTTGGGAATGCCAGCACAGGGATAGCACACACACAACCAGGGGTGGTGTTCCTTCTGGTTCATGGTGATTTAGGAGTCCAAAGGAGCCTTTTCCAAAAGGAAAATCCCTTCGGAATGTGCTGCCAGCTCCTTTGGACTTCTGCACTGACACAACAAGAGGGAAAACCCCATTTTTTTTGGGGTTTTCCCACCTGGAGGGCCCACAGCAGGGCTGGAGGGACCCTTTCCCACCATCCCCATGGATCCTGAGCCCGTTTTTCCCTAGGAGGGAGAAGCTCCCCACTTCCCTGGGCACCGACGGCCGCGATGCCGACGCCACCTTCACGGACGAGCAGGAGGAGGTGAGGCGGGCTCTGTGCCCCACATCCTGCTCCAGGGGGGCTCTCGGTGTCCCTGCCAGCTGGGGTGACACTTGGGGGGCTTTCCTGCAGTTCCTGTCCCTGGATGACATCCCAGAAACCAGCCAGGCCAGCGTGGACATCAGGAGGGGCCAGCAGCCTGCTGTAAGAGAAACCAGTTGCATTTTATGCCTCCTTTTATTTCTCCTTTCTCTCCTTTGAGTCCTCTGTTTATTCCTTCTTGCTCCTTTTCTCTCTCCTTTTTTCCTATATTCCTTCTGTTTATCCTTCTCTTTCCCCCTCCCTTTCTCCCTTTTATCCCTCTTTTTATCCCTCCTTTCCTCCCCTCCACGTCCCCATTTTCCCGGGTGAATCCCGGGGCCATCCAGCCGGGGTGGTGGCCTTGGGGACATGACACCTTTCCCAGGCTCTCTGCCACCTCCCTGTCCCTTCCCAGGCTGTGAACATCGTTCCCCTGACCCCCATGGCCCTGGTGCCCCCGGAAGAAGGGGAGAAGAAGGACAACCCCCTCCTGAGGTGCCATTCCTGGGATTGTCCCCTGTCCCCTCCCCTGGGTGGCATTGTACCATGTCCCCTTCCCTGGTGGCATTGTCCCCTGCCCCCTCCCCAGTGGGATTGTCTCTTGTCCCCTCCTCTGCTCCAGGTCCTGTGTGGCATTGTCTCATGTCCCCTCCCCTGGTGGGATTGTCCCATGTCCTGTCCCCTGCTCCAGTCCCTGGGTGGCATTATCCCATGTCCCCTTTCCCTGGTGGGATTATCCCGTGTCCCCTCCCCTGCTCCACTCCCTGGGTTGGCATTGTCACCTTCCCTGGTGGCATTGTCCCATGTCCCTTCCCCTGGTGGGATTGTCCTGTGTCCCCTCCCCTGCTCCAGTCCCTGGGTGGGATTGTCCCGTGTCCCCTCCCCTGGTGGGATTGTCCCATGTCCCCTCCCCTGGTGGGACTGTCCCATGTCCTGTCCCCTGCTCCAGTCCCTGTGTGGCACTGTCCCATGTCCCCTCCCTGCTGGCATTGTCCCATGTCCACTCCCCTGGTGGGATTATCCCCTGTCCCCTCCCCTGGTGGCATTGTCCTGTGTCCCCTCCCCTGCTGGAACTGTCCCATGTCCCCTCCCCTGGTGGGATTGTCCCATGTCCTGTCCCCTGCTCCAGTCCCTGAGTGGCATTGTCCCTTGTCCCCTCCCTGCTGGGATTGTCCCTTGTCCCCTCCCCATGGGATTGTCCCGTGTCCCCTCCCTGCTGGGATTGTCCCGTGTCCCCTTCCCTGGTGGGATTGTCCCGTGTCCCCTCCCCAGTGGGATTGTCCCCGTGTCCCCTCCCTGCTGGGATTGTCCCGTGTCCCCTCCCCTGGTGGGATTGTCCCATGTCCTGTCCCCTGCTCCAGTCCCTGGGTGGCATTATCCCATGTCCCCTTTCCCTGGTGGGATTATCCCGTGTTCCCTCCCCTGGTGGCATTGTCCCATGTCCTGTCCCCTGCTCCAGTCCCTGGGTGGCATTATCCCATGTCCCCTTTCCCTGGTGGTATTGTCCCTTGTCCCCTCCCTGCGGGGCCATCCAGGCGGGCGCCGTGCTGTTGTGGGAGCCGGGGCTGGCACAGGGGCTGGCACGGGGGACACTGGGGACCCTGGGGACCCTGGGGACACTGGGGACCCTGGGGACCCTGGGGACAGCGCCCTGCCGGTGCTGCCGCAGCCGGCGGGGCGAGGTGCTGGCGAGCCGCCGGGATTTCCGCATGAACACCTCCACCCCGCACGCCTCCGGCGCCTTCCTGCTGGAGCTCTCCGGGCTCTCCCCCACCCACCCGCAGCAGGAGCAGCGCCTGGCCACGGCCACAGGTACCCGGGGCTCTGGGCTGGCCGTGCCACTGTCGCTGGCACTGCCAGCACTCACCTGTCACCGTCCCCGGCAGCGGCTCCGGGATGCGGCCCCGCGGAGCGGCCGAGCGCTGGCACGGCGCTGGTGCGGGCACTGAGCTTCTGCGAGGAGGCAGGTGAGGGTGGCACCTGCCCCGGGTGTCCTCCCTGTGTCCCTCCAGGGTGCTGGGGAGGAGGGTGAGGGGTGCATTCATCCCTGACAGGAGGGGACAGTCAGCACTGGGCTCTGCTCCAGGGGACAGGGACAGGAGGAGAGGGAACAGCCTCAGGGGTGGATTTTGGGGAATTCCCTCCTGGAAAAGGCTGTGCAGCCCTGGCACAGGGATGGATCCCCATCCCTGGAGGGGTTTAACATCCCTGTGGGTGTGGCACTCAGGGACACGAGGGGTGGCCCTGGCAGTGCTGGGAACGCTTGGATTGGGGCTCTGAGGGATTTTCCAACCCAACCCACTGCACCATTCCCTGCTCCTGCCCTCTGCTGCCCCTGCCCTGGCAGGACAAGCTCCTGAGGGAATTCCTTGGCACACAGGGTGGGAATGGGGAGTCCTGGGAGCTTCTCCAACCTCTGCCCGTTCCCACCCCTCCAGGTGCTGCAGAACCTGACGATGATGACGTTCCCGGGACCCTGGGGAATGACATGGAGGTGACCCCGGCCCCTAACGAACACATCGAGGCTCAGAGGGTCTGTGTGGGCAGGGGCTTGGGGGCTGCCTGTGCTCCTTCCCTGGAGCCCCTCACTCCTTCCCTGGAGCCCCACAGCTCCCCACTCCTTCCCCAGAGCCCCAGAGCCTTGTGTTCCTTCCCTGGATCCTCTTGTTCCTTCCCTGGAACCCCTAACTCCTTCCCTGGAGCCCCACAGCTCCTCACTCCTTCCCCAGAGCCCCAGAACCTTGTGTTCCTTCCCTGGAGCCCCTCACTCCTTCCCTGGAGCCCCACAGCTCCTCATTCCTTCCCCAGAGCCCCAGAGCTTTGTGTTCCTTCCCTGGATCCCCTTGTTCCTTCCCTGGATCCCCTCACTCCTTCCCTGGAGCCCCACAGCTCCTCATTCCTGCCCCAGAGCCTTGTGTTCCTTCCCTGGAACCCCTCACTCCTTCCCTGGAGCCCCAGAGCCTTGTGTTCCTTCCCTGGAACCCCTGACTCCTTCCCTGGAGCCCCTCACTCCTTCCCTGGAGCCCCACAGCTCCTCATTCCTTCCCCAGAGCCCCAGAGCTTTGTGTTCCTTCCCTGGAGCCCCTTGTTCCTTCCCTGGAGCCCCTCACTCCTTCCCCACACCCCTGGATCCCCCCACCCCCCGTTTCTCTGCCCCCCAGTCCCTCACTGTCGCTCCCCACGTCCCCCAGAGCACGCCCCGGACCCGGGGGTACATCCTTCGGGAGAGACCCCCGTGCCAGGAGCCCGGATACCTCAGCAAGGTAAGGGGGGGCCTGGAGCCAGGGAGACCCCAAAGCTGAGCAGGATGGGACCCCCTGGGACAGCCCAGAGCCCTGCCCATCCTCCCCCCGTGCCAGGAGGAGCCCAATCCATGGCAGAGCCTCGACCCCTTCGGAGAGTCCGAGGAGAAGCCCTTCAGGAGAGGTATTTTTGGGGGAAACGGGGCAGCTCCAGGGGCCCGTGCTGGGTCCTTCCTGGCCACGTGTCCCTCGGTGTCCCCAGCCCCACAGAGGGACATTCCCAGCCCCACAGAGGGACATTCCCAGTTCATGGGGGTCATTCTCAACCCCACAGAGGGTCAGTCCCAGTTCATGGGGGGTCATTCCCAACCCCACAGAGCGTCATTCACTCCCAGCCCCACAGAGGATCAGTCCCAGCCCCACAGAGGGACATTCCAGTTCATTGGGGGTCATTCCCAGCCCCACAGAGCGTCATTCATTCCCAGCCCCACAGAGGGTCAGTACCAGTTCATGGAGGATCATTCCCAGCCCCACAGAGGGTCAGTCCCAGTTCATGGAGGGTCATTCCCAACCCCACAGAGGGTCCTTCATTCCCAGCCCCACAGAGGGACATTCCCAGTTCATGGGGGTCATTCCCAGCCCCACAGAGCGTCATTCACTCGCAGCCCCACAGAGGATCAGTCCCAGTTCATGGAGGGTCATTCCCAGCCCCACAGAGGATCAGTCCCAGTTCATGGGGGGGTCATTCCCAGCCCCACAGAGCGTCATTCACTCCCAGTCCCACAGAGGGACATTCCCAGTTCATGGGGGGTCATTCCCAACCCCACAGAGGGTCAGTCCCAGTTCATGGAGGGTCATTCCCAGCCCCACAGAGGATCAGTCCCAGTTCATAGAGGGTCATTCCCAGCCCCACAGAGGGTCAGTCCCAGTTCATGGAGATCCATTCCCAGCCCCACAGAGGATCCTTCATTCCCAGCCCCACAGAGGGTCAGTCCCAGTTCATGGAGGGTCATTCCCAGCCCCACAGAGGGTCCTTCATTCCCAGCCCCACAGAGGGTCAGTCCCAGTTCATGGAGGATCATTCCCAGCCCCACAGAGGGTCATTCCCAGCCCCACAGAGGGTCAGTCCCAGTTCATGGAGGATCATTCCCAGCCCCACAGAGGGTCCTTCATTCCCAGCCCCATAGAGGGTCCATCATTCCCAGCCCCACAGAGGGTCATTCCCAGCCCCACAGAGGGACATCCCCAGTTCCACATCCCCATCCCCACGGCAGGTCCTTCCCAGCCCCCCAGTGGATCCCTCCCAGCCACATGGGCACCCTCAGGTGTCCCCGTCCCCACGCTGGGTTATTCCAGCCCCACAACATCCAGAGGGGCCCCTTCCCCCTCCCAGCCCCCGTTGGTGGCCGCACCCCCGGTGTCACCCGTGTCACCTGCAGGGAGGCCCTTCCTGGTGCCACACGGCCTGGATGACATGGTTGGAGGCAAGAGGAAGAGGAAGGGCCCGAGGAAGCTGCAGGATTTCACCAGATGGTTCTCTGCAGCCTGTGAGTGATTCCCGTGGGATCCTGTGGGGTGGAGATCCAAAAGGATTTGAAAACCTTTGCAGAGGGATTTAACAGCCCTGTGCACGTGGCACTTGGGGACACGGGCAGGGGTGGCCTTGGCAGTGCTGGGGGGGACTCGGTGGGCTCTGAGGGCTTTTCCAACTTTGATAAACCCATGGAATTCCCATCCAGTGATTATTTCTGACCTGCTTCCCACAGACAACAACGTCACGGAGGGCCGGAAAAGCAGGAGGAAGGGCCCCACCTTCGCAGGTGAGGGGACACGGGCAGGGACACATTCCCTGTCCTGGGGGACACCAGGGGCTGGATCCTGCAGTGGGGAAGGACACCCCAAAACTGGGGAAATGCACACCAGGAGATGGATCCTGCAGTGGGGAAGGACACCCCAAAACTGGGGGAAATGGGCACCAGGGACTGGATCCTGCAGTGGGGAAGGACACCCCAAAACTGGGGAAATGGACACCAGGGGCTGGATCCTGCAGTGGGGAGGGCATGGAGGGGAAGGACACCCCAAAACTGGGGAAATGGGCACCAGGAGATGGATCCTGCAGTGGGGAGGGCATGGAGGGGAAGGACACCCCAAAACTGGGGGAAATGGGCACCAGGGGCTGGATCCTGCAGTGGGGAAGGACACCCCAAAACTGGGGGAAATGGACACCAGGAGATGGATCCTGCAGTGGGGAGGGCATGGAGGGGAAGGACACCCCAAAACTGGGGGAAATGGACACCAGGGACTGGGTCCTGCAGTGGGGAAGGACACCCCAAAACTGGGGAAATGGGCACCAGGAGATGGATCCTGCAGTGGGGAAGGACACCCCAAAACTGGGGAAATGGGCACCAGGAGATGGATCCTGCAGTGGGGAGGGCATGGAGGGGAAGGACACCCCAAAACCAGGCAAGGGGAGCCTGGGAAGGGCCTGGGATGCCTGGGGGTGGCAGAGGGGCCATCCCCTGTTTTAGGGGGTGCAGGGGGACCATCCCCAATCCCCGTTCCCAATCCCTGCAGACCTGGAGGTGCTGTACTGGCGGCAGTTCAAGGAGCGGCTGGCGGCGCAAAGGAAGCTCCAGAGCCAGAGGGTGAGTGGGGTGGGGGCTGAACTGGGGGGCTGAGGGGCTCCAGCAGCCCCTTGCCACGCTCTGGGGGTGCTCAGGGGGGGCTCAGGGCTGTTCCTCCCACAGGGGCTGCTGAGGGAGCTGGAGCCAGAGCTGGAGCTGGAGCCAGAGCTGGAGCAGGAGTGCGGGGTTGACGGCGAGGAAGGAGCAGGTGCTGGAACCCAGAACCCCAAATCCCTCCTGCCTGGGGAGCCTTTCTTTCCCTCCTGAGGGTCTGGGGAGGTCCCAGAAGGTTGGGGGGGTCCTCAGGGGGCACTGAGGGGGTGTCAGGGGGCACTGAGGGGTGTCCCCATCCGGCAGATGATGATTTTGTGGAGCACGAGGACATGGAGCCTGAGGCGCCAGAGGAGCTGGAGGAAGGAGCCCAGGGTGAGCTGCTGACCGACCCTTCCCTCCCCAATCCCCCAGCCTGTCTGTCCCTGAGGGTCCCCTGTCCCTCCCATGGGGGTGGCAGGGTGCTGTGACCCCTTTCCCCACAGACCCCCCTGAACTCGGCTACGAGGAGCTGGTGCGCAGGAACGTGGTAGGTGCTGGTGGGGGGACGTGGGGGTGACTCCAGACGGTCACGGTGTCCCCTGGAGGCTTGGGGGTGTCCCCAGGAGTGGCAGGGTGTCCCCATGGCTGTCCCTGTCCCCAGGAGCTGTTCATGGCCAGCTCCCAGAAGTTCGCGCAGGAGACGGAGCTGTCCCAGCGCATCCGGCAGTGGGAGGAGCGCATAGAGCCGCTGCTGCAGGAGCAGGCACGGACCCCGACCCCGGGCTGGGTGGGACTTGGGGGGCACTGCCCGGGCTGGCCGGGGGGCTGGCACTGCCCTGCTCACCCCTGAACACCCGGTACCCACCCCCCGAGCCCTCTGCCCTTCCTTGCCCACCCCTGAGCGGCCCAGACCCACCCCAGAGCCCCCTGCCCACACTGAGCCTCCTCTGCCCCTCCCTCTGCACCTCTGAGCCCCCTGTCCCTGACTGTCCCCTTGCTGTCCCCTCCCTGTCCCCTCCCTGTCCCCTCATACCTGCAGGAGTCCTGTGCCCCGTTCCATGTCCGTGGGTAGGGGCTGGCACTGACCGGTGACACTCACTGTCCCCCAAGAAACCTGTGGTCCATTCAATGTCCGAGCCTAGGGACTGGCACTGACCAGTGACACTCCCTGACCCTCCCTGTCCCCTCGCTGTCCCCTCCCTGTCCCCAGGAGTCCCGTGTCCTGCTCAATGTCCGTGCCCAGGGGCTGGCACTGACCAGTGACCCTCCCTGACCCTCCCTGACCCCCTCCCTGTCCCCTGCTGTCCCCAGGAGTCCCGTGTCCCGTTCAATGTCCAAGCCTAGGGACTGGCACTGACTGGTGACCCTCCCTGACCCTTGCTGACCCCTCACTGTCCCCAGGAGTCCCGTGCCCCCTTCGATGTCCGTGCCTACGGGCTGGCACTGACCAGTGACACTCCCTGACCCTCGCTGTCCCTTCACTGTCCCCTGCTGTCCCCAGGAGTCCCGTGCCCCCTTCGATGTCCGTGGGTAGGGGGTTGGCACTGACCAGTGACACTCCCTGTCCCCTCCCTGTCCCCAGGAGTCCCGTGTCCCTTTCCATGTCCGAGCCTAGGGGCTGGCACTGACCAGTGACCCTCACTGTCCCCTCGCTGTCCCCTGCTGTCCCCAGGAGTCCCGTGTCGCGTTCCATGTCTGTGGGTAGGGGGCTGGCACTGACCGGTGACCCTCCCTGTCCCCTGCTGTCCCCAGGAGTCCCGTGCCCCCTTCGACGTCCGTGCCTACGGCCTGCAGCTGACGGAGCGCTGTGCGGAGCTGGGCCAGTGGCACTCTCTGGCCAGCCTGGTGGCCGGGCAGCCCCCGTTCGAGGTGTGCCGCTACCTGCTGGCCTCGCTGCAGCTGGTAAGGCCCTGGGGGTCCCTGGGGGGGTCGCTGGCCGTGCCAGGACCCCCGGCCACCCCCTGTCCCCTCCGCAGGCCAACGACGGGCAGGTGGAGCTGGCGCAGGACGAGGGGCTGGAGGAGGCGCTGGACACGGTGCGGCTGCGGCTGCTGACGGACTGCCCGGCGCACGAGAGGTTCCAGAACTTACAGCTGCCCTCCCAGAGAGACCCCGACCCCAAATAATCCCCCAAATAAACCCCCCTTTGCTAAGGAAAGGCCTCTTCCCTAGGGGGGTGGGTAAGGGGGATTTGGCCGCACAGGGGTTGTGGGGAGGGTCACTTCAGTCACCTCCACAGAGCCCCCAGCCCCATGGGACACTCCTGGGGGGCAGTGGGGGTCCCTCCCTGCTGCGTGACACCGCTGGGGGGGCAGTGGGGTCTGGTGGGGGTCCCTCCACCTACTCACCCACGCTCTCCCCCTCACAGGACACACCTGGGGGTCCCTCCACCTGCCCACTGAAAACCTCCCTCAGCCCAGACCATTCCTGGGGACACTGGGGGCTGTCGGGTGTCCCCTCCCCACGATGTGACACCCCTTGGGGGACATGGGCTCTGTCCCTCCCTCAGGACACACCTGGGGGGCACTGGGGGCTGTCACCTGTCCCTAACCCTCCAAGTGCCACCCCTGCAGGGTGTGGGCTCTGTCAGGGCTCTGTCCCTCTCACAGGACACACCTGGGAGGCACTGTCAGGTGTCCCTTTCCCCCATATGTGCCACCCCTGCAGGGTGTGGGCTCTGTCAGGGCTCCCCCAGGACGCACCTGGGGGACACTGGGGACTGTCACCTGTCCCTAACCCTCCAAGTGCCACCCCTGCAGGGTGTGAGCTCTGTCCCTCTCACAGGACACACCTGGGGGCTGTCACCTGTGCCTAACCCTCCAAGTGCCACCCCTGCAGGGTGTGAGCTCTGTCAGGGCTCTGTCCCTCCCCCAGGACACACCTGTGGACACACCTGGGGGGCACTGGGGGCTGTCACCTGTGCTTTTCACCCCCCTGTGCCACCCCTGCAGGGTGTGGGCTCTGTCCCTCTCACAGGACACACCTGGGGGCTGTCACCTGTCCCTAAGGCTCCAAGTGCCACCCCTGCAGGGTGTGAGCTCTGTCAGGGCTCTGTCTCTCCCTCAGGACACACCTGGGGGCTGTCACCTGTCCCTAACCCTCCAAGTGCCACCCCTGCAGGGTGTGGGCTCTGTCCCTCCCCCAGGACACACCTGGGGGCTGTCACCTGTCCCTAAGGCTCCAAGTGCCACCCCTGCAGGGTGTGGGCTCTGTCAGGGCTCTGTCCCTCCCCCAGGACACACCTGAGGGACACTGTGGCCTGTCCCCTGCCCCTTTCCCCCCCCATATAACACCCCCACCCCCAGACGAGCACAGCCCCGCTCCGGGACGCTCTCCCCGCCGTTTATTCCTCTCCGGCGGGCGGCAGCGGCTCGTAGGCGTCCATGTGCGCCCGCACGCTGCGCGCCATCTCCTCAGCCGTGCGCGAGCGGCCGTAGCAGTCCCGGAAAAACCCGTCGGGATCCACGAGGAACGTCAGCACCGAGTGATCCACCACGTAATCCCCGTCGGCGTCGCGGGGCCCGGCGCTGACGTAGACACGGAAAGCTCTGGCGGCGGCCCGGACCTGCTCGGTGGTGCCGGTGAGGCCGAGCAGGCGCGGGTGGAAGTCCCGCAGGTACCGGAGCAGCGCCGCCGCGTTGTCACGCTCGGGATCCACGGTGACAAAGAGCGGCTGCAGCGGTGGCAGCGCGGGGTCCCGCTCCAGCAGCTCCACGGCTCTGCTGAGCTTCTGCAGCTCCTCGGGACACACGTCGGGGCAGTGCGTGAAGCCGAAGTACAGCAGCACCCAGCGGCCCAGGAAATCCGCCTTGCTCCGCTCCACACCCGCAGTATCCCGCAGGTGGAAGTCGCCTTGTCCCAGTGCCACCCGCCGCAGCTCGGCCAGCCGCCGGGAGCGCTGCCGTTGTTCCTTTTCGTGCCGGAGGTACAGCCAGATCGCCGCCGCCGCGCCCGCCGCCGCGCCCGCCACCGCCAGCCGCCGCCGCAGCGGGAGCGGAGGGGTGTCCGGAGCGGCGCTCAGGCGGCACCGGGGCAGGCACCGGGATGGGCACGGGGCAGGGCAGAGCCGCGGGATGGAGCGCAGGCACCGCAGCATGACGCGGAGCTGCGGAGGGACAGCGTTAGGGGCTGCGGGAGAACCGGGAGCACCGACCGGCCGCGGGGATGCACCGCGGGGCTGCGCCTCAGCTGTGCTCTGACCCCTCATCCCATCCCCTGGAGCCCCAACCTGTTCCCCAAATGCCCCCTGACCCCTCATCCCACCCCTGGTGCCCCAAACCTGCTCCCCAAATGCTCCCTGACCCCCCAACCCTGTTCCCCAAATGTCCCCGGACCCCTCATTCCATCCCTCAGACCCCAACCCTGTTCCCCAAATGCCCCCGGACCCCCCAACCCTGTTCCCCAAATGCTCCCGGACCCCTCATCCCACCCCTTAGACCCCAACCCCGTCCCCCAAAAGCCCCCTAACCTCTCACCCCACCCCTCCTGATGCACTTCCCCTCCAACCTTGTTCCCCAAATGCCCCCGGACCCCTCATCCCATCCCCTGGACCCCAAACCTGTTCCCCAAATGCCCCCTAACCTCTCACCCCACCCCTCCTGCTGCTCTCGGACCCCAACCCTGTCCCCCAGCCGCCCCCTGCTCCCCTCCTGGCAGTCCCCGCTGACCTGTGACCTCCGCCCGCTAACCTGTGACCTCCGTCCGCCGCCGCCGCTCCCGCGCCGCCGCCGCCGGAGCCGGAAGTACCGGGAGGGGCGTGGCCACCGAGGGAAGGGGCGGGGCCACATATGAAGGAGGCGTGGCTACAGATTGCGCGCCCAATGCGGGCGGGGCGTGGCCAAACCGCGGGGGGCGTGGCCGATGCGAGGGGCGTGGCCAGCTGTGCTGGGGTGACGTCATGGTGCCGGTGTGTGTTCTGTTTGTGTTCGATATTCTGCTCGGCGCTTTCAGAACTCGGAAAGCGAAGATTTGTTTTGTCTTGTTACCATCCGGCTCACTTTCCCCCATGGTTTGCTGTCTACAAGAGGCTGGTGCTGCCTGGCTTGCTTTGCTTTGCTTGCTTCTGCTTTTTCCTTGGCTTTTGCTTGTTAGTTAGTTTAGATAAGCAGTGCAATTCTTTCCCTGGACTGTTTTTTTTTCCTTACCCTTTCCTGAATACCATCCAACCTGCTCCGGACTGGGACCTGGGAAACACTGAGGAACACCGAGATCCTGCATTTTGTGATCTGCAGCAGCCATCCCCAGTGCCCAGAGCAATCCCCAGCACCCAGACAAGGGGGATTGTTCCCAGGAGAGACTTTCTGGATTTGTTCATCTCTTCAGAGCGGTGAAAGAGTTCTGTTGTCATCTGCTTGTTAATTTTTTATTTTTGGTGCTGGAGAGCGTTTTGATTGTTAATAAACAGGTTCTGTTCCACTTCTCTCCGATATAATTCTTCCCGAAGCGGGTGGGGGGGAGGTTTGTTTTTTGGGGGCTCCTTTTAGAGGTTTTTCCCCCAAATTTGCCCTGAACCGGGAGCCCGGCCCGCGGCGCACTCCCCGTTTCCACCACAGGGCGGCGCCACCGCCCCGCCGCCCTCAGAGCCGTGGGGGGGGGGGCGGTGAGTCGCGACATGGCCCCGACATGGCCCCGACACGGCCCCGATACAGCGATGGCTCCGCTTTACTCCGAGTCCCGGCACGGCCCGGGGAACGCTCCCGAGGGCACGATGGTCTCGGCCACCAGCGGCGGCGGCGGGTCCTGGGGCGGCTCCGGGCCCAGGCACAGCGCGGCCTGCAGCCGGCGGCGGCCATCGGCGCTGAGGGTCCCCTCATGGTGCAGCCGCAGCCAGGGCTGCCCTGAGGGCGGGCACGGAGGGGTCAGCGGGGACACGGAGGGGTTAGAGGGGCTCTGAGCCCCCCAGATACCCCCATATATCCCCCCAGATATCCCCCAGATATCCCCCCATATATCCCCCAGATATCCCCCCAGATATCCCCTAACCAGGGCTCTCCTGAGGGATGGGACACGGAGGGGTTAACGGGGGCTCTGAGCCCCCAATATCCCCCCAGATATCCCCCCAGATATTCCCCAGATATCCCCCCAGATATCCCCCAGATATCCCCCCATACATCACTCCAGATATCCCCCAGATATCCCCCCAGATATCCCCTAACGGGGGCTGCCCTGAGGGATGGGACACGGAGGGGTTAGAGGGGGCTCTGAGCCCCCCAGATATCCCCCAGATATCCCCCATATATCCCCCCAGATATCCCCCCAGATATCCCCCAGATATCCCCCCAGATACCCCCCAGATATCCCCCCAGATACCCCCCATATATCCCCCCGGATACCCCCCATATATTCCCCCAGATATCCCCCCCAGATATCCCCCCAGATATCCCCCCAGATATCCCCCAGATATCCCCCAGATATCCCCTAGATATCACCCCAGATATCCCCCAGATATCCCCTAGACATCACCCCAGATATCCCCCAGATATCACCCCAGATATCCCCCCAGATATCCCCCAGATATCACCCCAGATATCCCCCAGATATCCCCCTGATATCCCCCCAGATATCCCCCAGATATCCCCCAGATATCCCCCAGATACCCCCAGATATCCCCCCAGATACCCCCCCAGATATCCCCCTTGGGCCGGGGCACACGGGGGGTGTCGGTGTTTCGGGGGTCCCCGAGCCCCCCTCACCTGCCCGCAGGTGCTGCCCGGTGCCCACCAGCAGCTCGGCGCCCACGAGGGGGTTCACGGGGTCCCCGGCCCGTGAGCGACCCGCGCCCAGCCCGTGCAGGACCCGTGCCAGGGGCAGTGCCCGCACCCGCTGCACCCAGCCTGGCCCGGGGGCAGGACATGGGGGTCAGGGACATTGGGGTGTCAGGGACATTGGGGGTGTCAGGGACATTGGGGTGTCAGGGATATTGGGGTGTCAGGGACACATTGGGGTGTCAGGGACATATGGGGGTGTCAGGGATATTGGGGGTGTCAGGGACACACGGAGGTGTCAGGGACATTGGGGTGTCAGGGACATTGGGGGTGTCAGGGACACACGGGGGGGTCAGGGACATTGGGGTGTCAGGGACATTGGGGGGTCAGGGACACACGGGGGTGTCAGGGTCATTGGGGTGTCAGGGACATTGGGGTGTCACGGACACATTGGGGTGTCAGGGACATTGGGGTGTCAGGGACACACGGGGGTGTGAGGGACATTGGAGTGTCAGGGACACATTTGGGTGTCAGGGACATTGGGGTGTCAGGGACATTGGGGTGTCAGGGACATTGGGGTGTCAGGGATATGGGGGTGTCAGGGACATGGAGGGACACGATGGGGGACAGCCTGGGCATGTGGGGCAGGGGGCTTTGGGGACCCCCAGAACATGGGATTAGGAATTAGGGACCCTGAAGGCACAGCGTGTGGGGCGGGGGGCTTTGGGGACCCCCAGAATGTGGGATTGAGAATCAGGGACCCCCGAGGCACAACGTGTGGGGTGGGGGGCTTTGGGGACCCCCAGGCACAGAAGATGGAGGGCAGAGGGTGCAGGTGAGGACTCCCCAAGGTGGGGGGAATAGAGAGGGGCACGGGGTGAAGGAGGAGGAGTGGGGGGTTTTGGGGTCCCCCATACCTTCCTGGGGCGCAGGCAGCTCCTCGCAGACCTTGGCCTGGCCCAGGAGCCGGCGGCGCTGGGCGGGGGTCCCGGCGCAGAGACCCCGGGCGGTGTCGGGGGGCACCCCCTGCGCCCCCAACATGGCCTCGAAGGTGCCCAGGGCAGAACCATCGTCCAGAGCCCGGGCCAGGCGCTCCCGGCCCTGCTCGGGGCCCGCGGCCACCCCGCACTGCCACAGGAGCACCCCGCCTGTCCCCCAAAAATGGGAACGGGCTGGGACCCCCAAAAACCGCCCCACAGCCCCACAGCCCCATCCCGCACTGCCACAGCAGCACCCCACCTGCGCCCCAAAAATGGGGATTGGGCTGGGACCCCCAAAAACTGCCCCACAGCCCCACAGCAGCACCCCGCCTGCCCCCCAAAAATGGGAACGGGCTGGGACCCCCAAAAACTGCCCCACAGCCCCACCCCGCACTGCCACAGCAGCACCCCGCCTGCGCCCCGAAAATGGGAACGGGCTGGGACCCCCAAAAATTGCCCCACAGCCCCATCCTGCACCCCAAAAATGGGAACGGGCTGGGACCCCCACGGGGACCCCCACTCCTGGGGAGCCCCACTGGCCCTCTGCACCCCAGGAGTCCCCATCCCTGTCCCCCCGTGTCCCCCCATGTCACCCACTGACCCAGGGCGGTGTCACAGCTCGGGGGGCTGTCAGGGGACTGTCCCCCCGTGTCCCCCACTGACCCAGGGCGGTGTCACAGCTCAGGGGGCTGTCCCCCCGTGTCCCCCCGTGTCCCCCACTGACCCAGAACGGTGTCGCGGGTTGGGGGGCTGCCAGGGGGCTGTCCCCATCCCTGTCCCCCCGTGTCCCCCGTGTCCCCCACTGACCCAGGGCGGTGTCACAGCTCGGGGGGCTGTCAGGGGGCTGTCCCCCCGTGTCCCCCGTGTCACCCACTGACCCAGGGCGGTGTCGTGGGTCAGGGGGCTGTCCCCCATCCCTGTCCCCCCGTGTCCCCCGTGTCACCCACTGACCCAGGGCGGTGTCACAGCTCGGGGGGCTGTCCCCATCCCTGTCCCCCCGTGTCCCCCCGTGTCCCCCACTGACCCAGGGCGGTGTCACAGCTCAGGGGGCTGTCCCCCCGTGTCCCCCACTGACCCAGGACGGTGACCAGGTGTCGCAGCTCGGCCGGGCCACCGCCCCCCAGGCACTGCAGCGCCTCCAGCAGCTCCAGCGCGCTGCCCACGGCGCGGCCCAGCGGCTGCTCCATGCGGCTCAGCACGGCCGCCGTGCGGATGCCCAGGCGGGTGCCCACCGCCACCTGCGCGGGGACACGCGGGGACACGCTAGGGGACACGCTAGGGGACAGCAGGGACAGGGACAGGGGCAGGGACACGGTAGGGGACAGCAGGGACAGGGGCGGCGGGCAGGGACAGGAGGGGGACAGCGGGAATGGACCGGGACAGGGGCAGGGACGGGGACAGCAGGGACAGGGACAGGGGCAGGGACAGCGGGAATGGCCCGGGACAGCGGGCAGGGACAGGGTAGGGGACAAGCAGGGACAGGAGCAGGAGCAGGGACAGGAGGGGGACAGCGGGAATGGCCCGGGACAGCGGGCAGCGACGGGGATAGCAGGGACAGGGATAGCCAGGGTCAAGGACAAGGGACAGCAGGCAGGGACAGGGACAGGGACAGGAGCAGAGACAGGAGCAGGGACAGGGACAGCCAGGGTCAGGGACGAGGGACAGCAGGGACAGGAGCAGGGGGCAGGGACAGCCAGGGTCAGGGACAAGGGACAGCAGGAATGGCCCGGGACAGCAGGCAGGGACGGGGACAGCAGGGACAGGGACAGGAGCAGGGACAGGGACGGTCAAGGACAAGGGACAGCGGGCAGGGACAGGGACAGGAGCAGGAATAGGAGCAGGGACAGGGACCGCAGGCAGAGACAGGACAGGAGAAAGGACAGGGGGCAGGACAGGGATAGGAGCAGGGACAGGGACAGGGACAGCGGGAATGGACCGGGACAGTGGGCAGGGACAGGGTAGGGGACAAGCAGGGACAGGAACAGGAGCAGGGACAGCGGGAATGGCCCGGGACAGCGGGCAGGGACGAGGACAGGAGCAGGGACAGGAACAGGAGCAGGGACAGGGACACAGGGACAGGGACACAGGGACAGGGACGGGAGGGGGACAGCGGGAATGGCCCGGGACAGCGGGCAGGGACGGGGACAGGAGCAGGGACAGGAGCAGGGATGGGGACAGGAGCAGGGATATGGACAGCCAGGGTTAGGGACAGGAGCAGGGACAGGGACTGGAGCAGGGACAGGAGCAGGGACAGGGACAGCCAGGGTCAAGGACAAGGGACATCAGGCAGGGACAGGGACAGGAGCACGCACAGGGACAGGGACAGGAGCAGGGACAGCGGGAATGGCCCGGGACAGCGGGCAGGGACAGGGATAGCAGGGACAGGGACAGCAGGGACAGGAGCAGGGACAGGGACAGGAGCAGGGATAGGAACAGGGACAGCGGGAATGGCCCGGGACAACAGGCAGGCAGAGGCAGCAGGGACAGGGACAGGAGCGGGGACAGGAGCAGGGACAGGAGGCAGGGACAGGGACAGCGGCAGGGCCAGCGGCAGGGCCAGCGGGAATGGCCCGGGACAGCGGGCAGGCAGAGGCAGCAGGGACAGGGACAGTGACAGGGCCAGCGGCAGGGCCAGGGGTGGCGGGGTCCCCGGGGTGTCACCAGGCTCCGTGCCAGCTCCCGCGCGCTCTCCTGGCCGGGGCACAGAGCCGCCTCCCCGAACTTCACATCGAGCACCAGCGCCCGGAGCCGCTCCGCCGCCTTCTTGCTGAGGATGGAGGCTGGGCAGGGCAGGGGGGTCACCGCCTGCGGCCCGGCCGTGTCCCCGTGTCCCCGTGTCCCCGTGCTGTCCCCACGCACCCGTGATGAGCGGCAGGCTGTCCACGGTGGCCGTGACATCGCGCAGCCCGTAGAGCACCCGGTCCGCGGGCACCAGCTCCGCGCTCTGCCCCACGATGCAGCAGCCCACGCGTGCCAGGATCTGCTGCATCTGCGGCAGCGGTGACACCCCGGTGGCACCCCGGTGACACCCACGGGCACCACCCCCCGTCTTCTCCTGGCCCCTTTTGGGAGCCCATGAGACCCCACAACCCACTGGTGCCTGTGCCCCATCGGTACCCCATAGCACCCACCCCCTCTTCGGACCCCTCGGGCACCCCACTGTCACCCCACACCCCACGGACACCCCGCTGGTGCCCCGGTGAGACCCCATCACCACCCCACTGTCACCCCACACCCCAGTGAGACCCCATCACTGCCCCACGCCCCAGTGTCACCCTATCACCACGCCAGTGTCACCCCATCACCGCCCCATTGTCACCCCATCACTGCACCAGTGTCACCCCACACGTCACCCCACACCAGTGTCACCCCATCACCGCACCAGTGTCACCCCACACGCCACTGTCACCCCCACCCCTCCGCCGCCGCGGTGCCACCCAGCCCGGCCCTGCGGGCTCTGGGGGTGCCCGTGGTGTCCCCTCACCCACCACCCCCCGTGTGTCACCTCCTCGGGGCTCTGGGAGACGCGGAATCCGGGAATGGCCTCCAGCTTGTCCAGGGTGCCCCCGGTGTGGCCCAGCCCGCGCCCGCTGATCATGGGCACCTGCGGGAGGGCACGGGTGGGCACGGCTGGGCACGGGTGGGCACGGGTGGGCACGGGTGGGCACCCCCAGCCCCGCGTCCCCTCACCTTGCAGCCGCAGGCGGCCAGCGCGGGTGCCAGGGCCAGGCTGACCTTGTCCCCAACGCCACCGGTGGAGTGCTTGTCCACCAGCAGCCCGTGCCAGGCGGGTGGCCAGGCCAGGGTGCGCCCGGAGCCGGCCATGGCACGGGTCAGTGCCAGCGTCTCCCCCGCGTCCATGCCCCGCAGCCGGATGGCCATCAGCATGGCACCTGGGGGGACACGGTGACATGGCACCTGTCCCCTCCCCGCCCCTGTCCCCGCAGCCGGATGGCCATCAGCATGGCACCTGGGGTGGCACGGTGACACGGCACCTGTCCCCTCCCCTGTCCCCGCAGACAGATGGCACCGGGGGCCACCTCAGTGCCCTCCCCATCCCCTGCCCGTGACCCTCTGCCACGCTCTGGGGTCCCCGTGTCACCCTCCCCTCGCTGTGTCCCGTGCTGGTGGCATGTCCTGGTGTCCCTCTCTGTCCTCCCAGGGTGGTCCCGCAGCCGTGTCCCCTCCCCAGGAGCCCCCGGCACATCTCGGGGGTTGCCTTGCTGTGCCCGTGTCACCCCCTGGCCGTGTCACCCCTCCCGTCCCCGGGGTGTCCCCGTGTCCCCACCGATCTGTCCCTCCTGCGCGGTGCCCTCGGTGACACCGCGCACGAAGCTCCGGATCTCGGTGTCCTCCAGGCGCTCCCCGTCCCGCTTCTTGCGGATCAGGACCGGGAGGGGACTCGGGGTGTCCATCCCCGTCCCGGACAGCTGGCACCGGGAGCTGGCCCTGCCACCACCCCCAAGTGGCAGCGATGGCACCCGGGCCCGCCCGGCCGCCCCCCGGTCACCCGGAGCCACCCCCCGGTTACCCGGAGCCACCCCCCGGTTACCCAGAGCCACCCCCGGTTCCCCGGAGCCGCCCCCCGGTCACCCGGAGCCACCCCCCGGTTACCGGAGCCACCCCCCGGTCACCCGGAGCCGCCGGGACCTGCCCGTGCCCGGTTTAATCCCGTGCCCAGCCTGGCCCCGTTCCCGGTGCCCGCTGCCCGCAGCCGGTTCCGGCCCGTGGACTCTGAGCCCGGCCGGGAGGTGACACGGGGGTGGCAGGGGTGGGGGTGACACGGGGGGTGGCCCCCCGGGTTTCTCGTTCGCCGTGGGCACCGGCAGGTGATGCCCCGCCCGGGATCTGCCGCACCCCACGGATCCCGCGGAGTGACAGAGACGTGTCCCCTCCCTGCCCCGTGTCCCCTCCGTGTCCCCTCCCTGCCCCGTGTCCCCTCCGTGGGGTGTCCTCAGGACATGTTTAGGGGACCCCCTCCCCCCGTGCGACGCGGCGGGACGGAAGGAGAGCGATCGGTGCTGCTGCGGGTCATGTTTGTCACGGGAGGACGGTGCCAGCCCCGTGCCCGCTGCCCTGGGGGCACCGGTCCGTCACGGGCACGGGTCCGTCACGGGCACGGGTCCGGTACGGGCACCGGACCGTCACGGGCACCGGTCCGGTACGGGCACAACGCACTCCGCGTGGCGCACGCCGAAGCTCTGTCCTTGTCTCCGCTCCTGCGGGAGGACAGCGGCGGTGACAAGGTGAGGGGCGGTGGCTCCCTGTCCCCAAGCCCTGTCCCCTAACCCGGTTCCTGTCCCCCAGCCCCATGTCCCTGTCCCTGTCCCCCAGCCCGGTCCCTGTCCCCCAGCCCCATGTCCCTGTCCCCCTGTCCCCCAGCCCCGTGTCCCTGTCCCCCATCCCTGTCCCTGTCCCCCATCCCTGTCCCCCAGCCCCGTGTCCCTGTCCCCAGCCCCGTGTCCCTGTCCCCCAGCCCCGTGTCCCTGTCCCCCAGCGCCATCCCTGTCCCCCAGCCCCGTGTCCCTGTCCCTGTCCCCCAGCCCCGTCCCTGTCCCCCATCCCTGTGTCCCTGTCCCCCAACCCCGTGTCCCTGTCCCCCGGCCCGGTCCCTGTCCCTGTCCCTCAGCGCTGTCCCTGTCCCCCTGCCCCGTGTCCCTGTCCCTCTCCCCCAGCCCCGTCCCTGTCCCCCATCCCTGTCCCCCAGCCCTGTCCCTGTCCCCCGTCCCTGTCCCTGTCCCTGTCCCCCGGCCCCGTGTCCCTGTCCCCCAGCTCTGTCCGTGTCCCCCAGCCCCGTGTCCCTGTCCCCCATCCCTCTGTCCCTGTCCCCCAGCCCCATCCCTGTCCCCCAGCCCCATGTCCCTGTCCCTGTCCCCCAGCCCTGTGTCCCTGTCCCCCAGCCCCCTGTCCCTGTCCCCCAGCCCCGTCTCTGCCCCCCAGCCCCGTCCCTGTCCCTTGTCCCTGTCCCCGCTCACCTGTTTGGGGCAGTAGTCACTGGGGCCGGGTGTCTGTGGGGTCGGGCTGGGGCGGCCGCGCCCCGCTAAGGTGCAGCGGGGGGCCCGTGCCAGGTACAGGTTGGGGTCCACGGTGCCGTACCTGTTGGGTCCGGGGCTCTGCGGGCACAGGGACGGGTGATGCCACCCCCCGGATGGCCGTACCCCACACCCTCGGGACCCACAGCCCCTCCGCCCTACACCCCTGGCACCCCAGACTCCTTGGTACCCCACAGACCCCTGGCACCCACAACCTTGGTACCCCGACCCCACGGACCCCTGGCACCCCAAACCCTTGGCACCCTGACCCCACGGACCCCCGGCACCCCACACCCTTGGTATCCTGATCCCACGGACCCCTGGCACCCACACCCTTGGTGCCCCGACCCCACAGACCCCTGGCACCCCACATCCTTGGCACCCCGACCCCCCCACCCTTGGCACCCCGACCCCCCCACCCTTGGCACCCCGACCCCCCATTCCCCTGCCCCCCACCTTTTCCTCGCCATCGAAGATTCCGGGGCCTCTCCCGGTCATGGTGCACTGGGGGGTCGATGGCTTTGTCACCAGGCGGGGACCCATCACGGGTGGCAGCTGGTAGGTGGCAGGGCCTGGCGGGGGGACACGGGCGGGGGGACACGGTCAGGGGTGTGGGTGGTCGGGGCACCAGGAGTGTGAGGTGCCAGGGGTCCGTGGGGTTCAGGTACCAAGGGTGTGGGGTGCCAGGGATGTGGGTGGTTGGGGTACCAAGGGTGTGGGGTGCCAGGGGTCCGTGGGGTCGGGGTACCAAGGGTGTGGGGTGCCAGGGGTCCGTGGGGTTCAGGTACCAAGGGTGTGGGGTGCCGGGGGTCCGTGGGGTCAGGGTACCAAGGGTGTGGGGTGCCGGGGGTCCGTGGGGTCGGGGTGCCAAGGGTGGGGGTGCCAGGGGTCCGTGGGGTACCAAGGACTCTGGGGTGCCAGGGGTGTAGGGCGGAGGGGCTGTGGGTCCCGAGGGTGTGGGGTACGGCCATCCGGGGGGTGGCATCACCCGTCCCTGTCCCCGCAGAGCCCCGGACCCAACAGGTACGGCACTGTGGACCCCAACCTGTACCTGGCACGGGCCCCCCGCTGCACCCAGCCCGACCCCAGGGAGATGCCAGCAGGACCCGGGGGTGCCAGCAGGACCCGGGGGTGCCAGCAGGATGTGGGGGTGCCAGCAGGACCCGGGGGTCCCTCACCTGGGGTTGGCGGGGGTCTGTCCGTGCGGCTGCGGGCCCGGATGGAGCAGGCGGGGGCCGTGGGCACGGTCAGCCTGTGTGCCCGCTCCGGGAAATAATGCCCTGAGAGAGGGGCGAGGGGGGCACAAGGGGTGAGGGGGGTCAGCCGTGGCAGCTCCGGTGCCACCCGGGCACGGCGGCCCCTCCCTCAGTCACCTGTGCCCGGTGTGTGCCCGTCCCTCCCTCATTCCCTCCCTCACCTGTGCCCGGTGTGTCCCCACCCCTCCCTCAGTCCCTCACCTGGCCCCGGTGTGTGCCCGGTGTGTGCCCACCCCTCATTCCCTCCCTCACCTGTGCCCGGTGTGTGCCCGGTGTGTGCCCGTTGTGTGCCCGGTGTGTGCCCACCCCTCATTCCCTCACCTGGTCCCGGTGTGTCCCCGTTGCCCCGCTCCGGTAACCGGCCGCCCATGGTGAACGCGGCCCCGCGGTGGCGGTCCCGGGCGGTACCACCGGCGGGCACCGCGTACCGGGGCCCGGGGGATCGGTACCGGGGCTCCTCGGGGTCCCCCCGCCGCCCCCCGGAGCTGTGCGCGGGGTCGCTCCGGTCCTTTCCCGGTGGGTCCCGGTGTCCCGCCGGTCCCGCCGGTGCCATCTCGGCCGCGGGGACAGCGCTGTTGGTGGCAGCGGTGTCCTGGTGACGGTGACACTCGGGGGTGGCGGTGTCACAAAGGCCGCGGGGTGCCGGTGGCGCTCCGGGCGCCCCGCCGGGATCGGCACCCCGGGGTGCTCCGCGGGAGCTGCGCGATGGGTGCGCCCCGAAAATACACCCCATGGATTGACCCCCAGCACCCCCAAAATACATCCCCATGGGTGCACCCCAAAAATACAGCCCGTGGATGGACCCCCAAAAATATATCCCAGAGTGTGCACCCCGAAAATACACCCCGTGCATTGATCCCCAGCACCCCCAAAAATACATCTCAGTGTGTACACCCCAAAAATACACCCCGTGGGAGCATCGCGATGGGTGCACCCCAAAAATACAGCCCATGGATTGACCCCCAGCACCCCCAAAAATACATCTCAGTGTGTACACCCAAAAAATAGACCCCATGGATTGACCCCCAGCACCCCAAAAATACATCCCGATGGGTGCACCCCAAAAAAATACACCCCATGGGTACCCCCCGATGTGTGCACCCCGAAAATACAGCCCGTGGGTACATCCCCATGGGTGCACCCCGAAAATAGCGCCCGTGATTGACCCCCAGCACCCCCAAAAATACATCCCGATGGGTGCACCCCGAAAATACAGCCCGTGGGGACACATGGGGGACATGGGGACACATGGGGGGACATGGGGACATGGGGACACATGGGGGGACATGGGGAGACATGGGGGGACACATGGGGACACAGAGAGTGGCAGAGACCCCCCGGGGCTGATTTGGGGACCCCCTTCCCTTGGGGACACCCCTGTCCTGGGGACACCCCCCGGCTGTACCCCCCGCACCCCCCGAGGGTCCCCGTCCCCCGTGGGTGTCACCCGTGGGGCGCAGACACGGCCGAGGGACACGGGGGGTCCCGGTGCTTCCGTCACTTTATTGGGGGGTCTCGGGGTGGGGTGGGGTGGGGGTCCGGGGGTTTGGGGGGCAGCGAGGGGCGGGGGAGATTTGGGGGGCAGGGGGTGGATTTGGGGTTTGGGGGGCGGGGGGGATTTGGGGCACAGGATTTGGGATTTGGGGCACAGGGGCAGGATTTGGGATCTGGGGGGCAGTGCAGCAGGGGCGGGCAGGGTTGGGATTTGGGATTGGGGTCCGGGAGGGGGTTTAGGGGCAGGATTTGGGATTTGGGGCACAGGGTGTGGGATTTGGGGCACAGGAGGTGGGATTTGGGGCACAGGATGTGGATTTGGGATCTGGGGTGCAGCGCAGCAGGGGCAGGGCTGGGATTTGGGATTGGGGTCCGGGATGGGGTTTGGGGGCAGGATTTGGGATTTGGGATTGGGGTCTGGGAGGGGGTTTGGGGGCAGGATTTGGGATTTGGGGTTTGGGGGCAGGATTTGGGGGGCCGGGCCCCAGAGTGGGGGGCTGGCAGGTTGGGGGGGGCCCCCCTAGGCCCGGTATTTGCAGACGAAGGGTTTGGGGTCCCCGCAGGCTTCGCCCTCCCAGGCCATGAACCCTGCGGGGACACGGCCGCTGGCACGGGGACACGCGGGACACGCGGGACACTGACAGCCCCCCGACACCCCGACCTCCCTGTCACCCTCCCTGTCCCTCCCTGCCACCCCCTGTCACCTCCTGTCCCCCCCTGTCACCCCCTGTCCCTCCCTGATCCTCCCTGTCACCTCCTGACTCCCCCTGTCACCCCCTGTCACCTCCTGAGCCCCCCATACCCTCCCTGTCACCCTCCCTGTCCCTACCTGCCACCTCCTGTCACCCCCTGTCCCCCCCTGCCACCTCCTGACCCCCCCGTGTCCCTCCCTGCCACCCCCCCTGTCCCTCCCTGTCACCCCCTGGCCCCCCCTGCCACCTCCCCAGGCCATTGTCTGTCCCCAGCCCATTGTCCCCAGGCCATGGATTGTCCCCAGGCCTCACCTGCCGAGTCCTCCAGCGCGACACAGGACTGTCCCTTGGGGCCATCGTCCCCGTCCCAGGCCCAGTAATGGCGCGGGGACCCGTCAGCCCAGAGCCACCCCTGGCGCTGCGACACGGGACACGGGGACAGCGCGTCAGGGGGACACGGGGACACGGGGACATGGGGGACACGGGGACACGGGGACACGGGGGACACGGGGACACGGGGGACACGGGGACACGGGGACACGGGGGACACGGGGGGACACGGGGGACAGCGCAGGTGGCACACGGGTAGCGCTGCAGGGACAGCAGGGACAGCAGGGTGGGACACGAAGGTGAGGCAGGGCGGGGTCCGGGCAAGGAGGGGACACCAGGGGACAGCAGGGGCCAGAAGGGGCCAGCAAGGGCCAGCAGGGTGGGACAGCAGGGACAGCAGGGGACACCAGGGGACACCAGGAGACACCAGGGGACACCAGGAGACACCAGGGGACACCAGGGGCCAGCAGGGTGGGACAGCAGGGCCACCAGGGTGGCACACCAGGACACACCAGATGTGACAGACAGCCACGGGCGGTCACTCACCCGGTGGCGCAGCCCGATCCAGACGCTCTCCCGGTCCCGTTCCCGTTCCCGGTCCCGGTCCCTCTCCCGCTCCTTCTCCTCCTCCTCCTCCTCTCCCCGCGGCCGTCGGGCGATGAAGGCGGCGAGTGCCCGGTGCTCCTCGGGGCTGCGCAGCGAGGCCAGGTGCCCCCCGCGGGTGGCCTGGCACCACGCCTGGGGACAATGCCACATCCAGGGGGGTGACCGGGATTTGGGGACACCCCCCGCGGGTGGCCTGGCACCACGCCTGGGGACAACGCCACATCCAGGGGGTGACAGCGATTTGGGGACATCCCCCGTGCCCCCCGTGCCCCCCGCGGGTGGCCTGGCACCACGCCTGGGGACAATGCCACATCCAGGGGTGACCGGGATTTGGGGACACCCCCCGTGCCCCCCGTGCCCCCCGCGCCCCCCGCGGGTGGCCTGGCACCACGCCTGGGGACAATGCCACATCCAGGGGGTGGCCGGGATTTGGGGGACCCCCCGTGCCCCCCGTACCCACCTCGGCCCGTCGCCAGCTCAGCTGCTGCCCGAAGTAGCCGTAGCAGTGTCCCCCAAAAGCCAGCCAGCCCCGGGGACAGCGGGTGGCCTCAGCCCCTGCGGGGGACAGCGGGGTCACTGTCACCCCAAACACGGCCGGGGGGTTGGGGGGCTTTTGGGGGAGTTTGGGGAAGTTTTGGGGGTGTTTGGGGGGGTCTTGGGGAGTTTTGGGGGGGTTTGGGGAGTTTTGGGGGGCTCAGGGCGCAGTTTGGGGATCGGGGTGCAGTTGGGGGTCTTGGGGTGCAGTTTTGGGGATCGGAGTGCAGATGGGAGTTTTGGGGTGCAGTTTGGGGAATCAGGGTGCAGTTTAGGGGATCAGAGCGCAGTTTGGGGGATCAGGGTGGAGTTTGGGGATCGGGGTGCAGATGGGGATTGGGGTGCAGTTGGGAGTTTTGGGGTGCAGTTTGGGGGATCGGGGTGCAGTTTGGGGATCTTGGGGTGCAGTTTTGGGGCTCAGGGCGCAGTTTGGGGATCGGGGTGCAGATGGGAGTCTTGGGGTGCAGTTTTGGGGACCGGGGTGCAGCTGAGGGTCTTGGAGTGCAGTTTGAGGGATCAGGGAACAATTTGTGGGGTCAGGGCGTATTTTGGGGTTTCAGGGTGGAGTTTGGGGTCTCAGAGCGCACTTTGGGGTCTCAGGGCGCAGTTTAGGGGTCTCACCCGGCAGGGCGGGGGGCAGCACCAGGTACCCCAACAGGCAGAGCCCCAGGAAGGCGGCGGGACCCATCCTCAGCTCCTGCAACGGGGGGAGGGGGGGGCTGCAGAGGTGGGGGGGGGGCAGCACCCACTGCTGCAGCACCCACTGGTGCAGCACCCACCGCTGCAGCACCCACTGGTGCAGCACCCACCGCTGCAGTACCCACCCCTGGAGCACCCACCCCAGCACCCCAAGGACCCCCAGGACCCCCAGCACCCCAAGACCCCCCAGCACCCCGTGCACCCCCAGCCCCCCAAAACCCCCCAGCACCCCACAGCCACCCAGCACCCCCAGCACCCCAAGGACCCCCAGCCCCCCAACACCCCCAGACCCCCATCACCCCCATCACCCCCAGCACCCCCAGCACCCCCCAGCACCCCCCCAGCCCCCCCAGGACACCCCAGCCCCCCCAGAACCCCCAGCACCCCACAGCCCCCCAGGACCCCCCATCACCCCCCAGCTCCCCAGCACCCCCAGCACCCCCAAGCACCCCCAAGACCCCCCAGCACCCCCAGCCCCCCAAGACCCCCCAGCACCCCCAACCCCCCAGCACCCCCAGCACCCTCAGGACCCCCCCATCACCCCCAACACCCCCATCCCTCCAGCACCCCCCAGCATCCCCAGGACCCCCAGCACCCACAGCACCCACAGCACCCACAGCACCCCCAAGACCCCCCAGCACCCCAAGGACCCCCCAGCACCCCCAGAACCCCCCAGGACCCCCAGCCCCCCAACACCCCCCAGCACTCCAAGCACCCCAGCACCCTCCAGCCCCCCCCAGCACCCCAAGGACCCCCGGCACCTCTCGGTCCCGCAGTGGCCGAGCGGGACAGGGACACCCCAAATCCTTTATAGGGCCGGGTGGGGGCGGGGCGGGGGGGCCGGGCCGGGCGCACCCACCCGTGGAACCGCTGGCACCGCATCAAAGGCCGCGTGACGCGGGCACCCACCGAAACCGCACCCATGGGTGCCCCCGGGCCCAGGGACACGGACAGAGGGACAGAGAGGGGGACAGACAGAGGGACGGACAGAGGGACAGACAGAGGGACACGGACAGAGGGACGGACAGAGGGACGGACAGAGGGACAGGGTCCCGGTCCCTGTCCCTGTCCCTATCCCGGTCCCTGTCCCCTCTCCCGGGTTATTCCCGGTCCGTGCCCGGTCTGGCCCCTCTCCCGGGGCTGTCCCGGGTTATTCCCGGTCCGTGCCCGGTCCCTGTCCCCTGTCCCGGGTTATTCCCTGTCCCTGTCCCCTGTCCCGGGTTATTCCCGGTCCCTGTCCCCTCTCACGGGTTAGTCCCGGTCCCTGTCCCCTGTCCCGGGTTATTCCCTGTCCCTGTCCCCTGTCCCGGGTTATTCCCGGTCCCTGTCCCCTCTCCCGGGGCTGTCCCGGGTTAGTCCCGGTCCGTGCCCGGTCTGGCCCCTCTCCCGAGGC